ATTATTTGTGAATTTGTGGCTCTTGTTGTTCATATCACCGGCCAGTTGCCATCTATGTTTTAAAATATAGGCACAACTTGGGAAATTAATTAGAATATATATATATATATATATATAAGCTGCTAATGACAGACATCAGTTCTCATGGCAGATCCACAAGTGTCAGCTAGAATTGACAGGCCTGCTCTTATTTACTTTTACGTGAAATTGAAGATCCAACCAATTTTGACCAGTAAATTCTCCACCATTAACACTGAAAACTGTGTTTCCACATGTCAACTGCGTATTTGCTGTGCTGTAAAATCTTTTGGAAACTGGACTCAAGTCAGACAAAACCAGTCATTTAAATGCTACTGGGGCTCTAGGAATGTCTGACGAACCTTTTCAAATACTATCACCACTTTTTTTTTTTTTTTTTAAAACAAATTACTGATAAATAGAAAATGTCATAAATAAACTGCCAACAAGAACAAAGAGAAAAGACGGCAGATATCATGCTCACTCTTTCTCCAGAAGCTGCTTAACTGTGAGATAGGCCCAAACCCTCTGGATTTGGCCATCAGACTCTGTTCCAGTCGATTCTACGGAGGTGTTTGTGCCAGAAAAGGTCATCCTTCTAGTCCCCTGTCATAATCCAAAACAACTGTAATGTCAACAACTTTCACAAAGGTTATTACAACTGATGTGCAGTTAGAATTGACACTTACCGAAATGGCCACAACTTGTGGAGAGAAAGTTTCAATGTCGTTGTCAGTGATCTGACCAGCCACCACAATCTCAGAGCCATTATAATAGGTGCTAAAGTTAGTCTGGGTTAGATTGGTTCCACCACTATAGATCAGTGTCACGTCTGTCAACAGAGGAGTGGCGACCTCTTCATAGAAACCCTGTTGACATACAATATAAACACTTGACGAATGTTTGACCTCTCCACAGCAGCCAACCATATTTACATTTTTCAGGAGAAGATATCACATTGTAAAAAGTTTATTGATACCTTCAGCTGTAAATCAGCATCAGAGTCTTCATAAATACGTCGTGCCACACCATTGTTCTGTAGCGACATTTTCTCAAGGAACTTAAAATTGACATCAAAACCAAAACCAAGACAGTAGAGTGGGAATTTATCTGCAATGGCTCTTCTGACGTTGGACTGTATTACTTCAAGATTTGTTTCTCCTGCAAGGACACAAGACATGGTGTCATTTGACATCCTCTGCAGTAGAATTAAATATCGGTTTTACATATCATTTAAGAAATGATAGGTTGAGCTGGTAACCCAAAGCGACCATACAGGAAGTTGGTCCCTAACCTCTAATGAAACCCATAGAGGCAAGCTGGCATTGGACAAACTATTGTTCAAAAATAAATAAATTAAACCCATCTAAATGGATAGTTTCCTGTCAGGAATGACTCTCTGACGTAAAGTGAATAAAATGTTGTATAGCTTACACTTAAACTGACATAGCTATTTTTGTTTTTTTGATTTATGTGGCCCTTTTTTAGGTGGCTTAAATGTGTTTTGCTGCTGACCCTGTCCACATCGGTTAGTATTTTAGTTTCTGTGCTGGTCCTTCTGTCAGCTTCTCCAATTTGGGGGCATACTGACTGTCATCTACTGTAGACTATTGTACACTGACTATTGACAAGTATCTCATACAACCCCACTTCAAGGAAACTGATTTTTTATTTTAAGATTTGACAATGCTATGGTAAAGATTTGATTTGGATTATGCACAAGTCAAGACTGAAGGACCTTCACTGTCATATGTACTGGAATTGTTCAAAGAAACATTGCTGACAGTTGGTTTAAAACAGAAATCCAACAGGGGTCTCCTGTATTAAAATCCATTGTTTTGTCAACCCATCCATCGTCCTGAGCTCCCACATGCACGCTTTATGTATGTAAAGAACAACCACCTCCCTTGCTACTGTCACAGCAGCCACTAGAGGACTCTGTCATGTGAATTTGAACATGCCTTATTTTGAGCTATTTGTTTAAACTGGCTGAGGCACACAAATGCTAAAGACGTATCAAAATAAGCTGCATGAACAAACAATATATATGATTATTATTTTATAGGACGACAGCTTCCATTTCTAAAAGTATTTGTTTGTGTGCAGGTGTGCTTTAATATAACCTGTGGTTGGATCTCCATCTGTGAGAAGTATAAGGATAGATGCTGAACCTTCTCTGGGATGTGCATTCAGCATACTTGCTCCTTTCAGCACTGCTTGGTTAATGTCTGTGGCTGAGATGTAACAAAACATGTCTCATTACGATCATTCTGCTGTCGTTTGTTCATATTCCAAAATGAAAATATTGATTGAAAAATCTCACCTCCTCTATCTCTTATTCTCCGCGCAAATGTCTTGGCGCTCTCCACGTTTTCACTGCTGGCCTGAACAAGTTCTTTTTTCCAGTGAATAATCGCTCCATCAAAAGCGATAAGACCGAAGTAGTCATCTTCTGCCAGATCATTTAAGATATGGATCAATGCGATTCGTGTCTGGGTAGAAACACACAATAAAACTTTTAGTCAGTTTTGCTTCATGTGTGTTCAGAAATTGTGCACTTTGCTGTAAAGTAAATCTGTAAATTTTGGTAATATGTCCTACACTTGCTCTCTTTAAATACTGTACCTGCTCTATTTTTCTGCCGTGCATTGAGCCGCTTTGATCAATAAGAAAGACAACATTTTTTGATATTCGGGAAAGACCAGCTGGAGCAAAGTGATGAACAAAGTAGCCATCAGATTTCTTTAAGGGGAAAAAGAAAAAAAGTAATTGAAATGACTGAAAAACATATCAGATTAAGTCACGTGAGCTCATGTTTTTTTGCTGTACAATGCTACTTCACTGTAGAACATCATCAGGAAATTAACACTTGTTTTACCTTGATGTCTCCCAGTGTAGTGTCTCTGTTAACGTCATAAGCAATAACCAGATCTCCATTCATACCCTCCTCTCCGCAGCTGTCACATAATTTCTGTTGGTCTTCAGTTGGATAGAAATGCACCCATGCCTGGAAAAGGATAAATTCAAATTAATGTTATTGGGCACGGTAGCCGGCGGTTTGTACAGATTGTAGAATAAACAGTATCAACAGATATAATTTTAACATGAACAGTGAAAATAATAAGCGATACCATCCTTATGTGCAATGTAGCTAATACAAGCCATCATAAAATAGCAGCTGAGTTGAATACAAAGTAGAATTTTCCATCACTGCATGCTCTACCTGTTTGTCTGCATGTGTTTTGGTGATGGCATTAGCCAGGGCTTTGGTGCTTAGTCCTCCTTTCACATCGATGAAACTGATGCCAGCTTTCTCGTGGATGTACACATCAACCTGACATTAAATGCATTAAAAAACATCAGTTAGAACCCCTGTTACCCCAGCATGTTTTTCTTTGATGAACACTAGATACATGGACACGAGAAACACCTTGAAGTCTTTGACAGGCTGCATGGGTCGAGCATGGATTTGCAGCTCGTACTTGCCATGGGTGCGTTTCATCAGTTCCTCATATGTAAGTTCAAAGGTGACCTTTTTGTGAGCAGCCACATTTACAGAAGTCTTAAATTCCTCCAGGGTCCTGCCTACAGAACTACATCAGAGACAATAACAATTGCATTTAATAACATCAAACACCAGGTTATACCAATAGTGTGGACATTACCTGTGAATAATTCAACTAAAAATCGATTTGACTTGTTATCTCAAGCTTCTCAAATAAAACATATAAACCAACTGGCAATAAATGTCTCTATTAGTACATGTACCTGACAATCCCAGCGCTTTGGCCACGAGACACAGCAGTAGTATACTCTTGCTGAGCCTGCTCCTTAGCTTTCACAACACCATCATACTCCTGGCCATCTATAAGCCTGAAGAGGACCAAGGAAAGAATTTATTAATTTCCCAGTCAGTCTGCAATTATTATTATTTTTTAAATGATTTGTAAGGTAGAGATCTTTAGTTGAAAATGCCTCTACATATCCATGTATCTTGTCTTTTCACACACATTTTGAATTTACTGATGAAGGCATTCTTTGGAATCCGAACGTGGAATTCAATTTCCCTTGACTCGTCCATACGGTTGGCCACACGGCTTGTGATGACAGTGGTGGCATAGCGGCTGGTCACTGTGGAGTTGATGTGAAAGCTGTAGATGTCCCAGTCGCCCTGAGCAAACACAGAAGGCACATTTCACAAAACGATAAATAAATAGCTCGATTGATCATACTGGCTGACGACCAGCTGACCAAAGATCAGATGCTGGCAAGAAAGTGTTATTCTGATTTCAGATCTCATTGGTATAACTGTAGAAACCCCTAAATTCACATTATTTTTTCTACAAAATGTTTTCATTTCACATTGGCTGTGCAGCTTCATACTCCTAATATTCCAGCATTCATGGCATCATACTTACACTCATTCCCTAAAGACTTACTTGCTGCTGTTTGTGCCTAAGGGGGAATAGATTCCCCACAGTGTGGCTGTTTGAACAGACATATATCCAAACAACACATCACTTGGCAAGACATTGCATTGTTAACTTGCAATAATAATAATTTTAACCCAAACCTAACCTAATATGAAGTGTTTACCATAAAGTTCAGAGGCTCTCATACTCACGAAAACCAACACCGCAGAGATCTAACTTATCCCAGCCCGATCAAGAATCTAAATCTAACCAACCCAAATGTTAAACCGGGTCTTTAATGTAAACCTTAAAGATTTATGTTATGGGGGGTGTTTGTTCCCAAAATGTTGGTAGGTCCTTTGTTGGTACTTTAATCTTTGTGATGATGATTATTGACATTCCATAACCTTAACCATCACAGATTAACATCTAACGTAAACCCTAATGCAAATAGAAACAAACTAAATCATGACTTAAACCTTACAAAGTAAAATGTCCTCATTTTCCACAAGTGTCCTCACTACTCATAACCTGTGGTCCCCACATGGACAGATGCACAAAAACACATACACAGTCGTGAGTCCATGTCTTCACTTTCTAATCATTTCCTTGAGACCTCCTTAACACTTAACCATAAATACTACTTTGACAGTGCTAAACGTAACCCTGTGCCAACCATAAACCACATGCTGTTTTACATATATCTATAATTGTACATAGTAGTTTGACACTCACTTTCATCCCGAAACCTGTTGCACCTGTTTAAATGCATGTGTGTTTTAGGTAAGCGCTTTGAGGGCTAAATAAACACCACAATTTGATCACTCTTTAATCTGAATGATTTTCATTTGATTTTCCATGAATGCTGCTAACTGAATTATGTCCCCACAATGAGTAAAAAACACACAGAGATGTGAACACCATGACACAACTCCAAAGGCAAAGAGCCAGGAGGTCCTTCAACCTGCTTTTGTGTTTGTTTATCAGAGGCAGGGTTCAGTGTGTTGCAACTGACCGAAAGATGCCTAGACGGGAAAAAAAAAAAAGGAAAAAAAGGAAAAAGTCAAATATCTCCTTAATATCTGTGAAAATAAAATTGCATCGATAAAATGTTCGACAGAGTCGGTGTCCTTGCAGTGTTGTGCTCGGCCCCTTAGGTTTTGTAGCCTTACCTTGTTTGGTAGTGTGGTAGCCAAAGCCAGCAGCAGCCCAAAGAGGGTTAATTGCAGCCCAGTTCTCCCCATGATGCGTCCCACCAGAGTGCAACCCGGGCGGCTGAAACTGTCTTTTAAACTCAAACAAACAAGGACAGCATTAATGTGTACATAATAGGGGCAAACTCTTGTTTCTCCCTCTCAACCCACACACACACACACACACACACACACACACACACACACACTAAAGCACACTCCCCCGAAAAGGAGGGATTTATCAGAAATTCAGCAAAAACACAGTCTCCCCCGCAAAAAAAGAGGTGTTATCAAAACTTCAGCTGCTAATGTGAGCTTTACTGTTGACATTGAAAGATCAGCCTGTTCACTTTGTCGAGACTTTAACTCGCAGAAAACTTTTCGTGCAGTGACAGCCGAACACTGGTTAGAAAACTCAGAATGACAGCGCTACACGAGGACAATTTGTCATTGCGTGTCCTGCATGCGCTGTTAATGAAACAATTATAACATTGTGTGGTGTCAAGCAAAAATGAATTTATTATTTATGTCTTCAAGTATGTACAGCTTTTTTTTTTTTGAGAGAGAGTACCGATCTGACAAGGTCAGGAAAGTGCTGGGAAAACAGGTGATACGGCAGGCAAAAGCAATCATACACCAAGCTTTCATTGCAAGCATTAAAGAGATTAAAGACAGAAGTTACTGGGTAAAGCACAAATAAAATAACTGCATAGGAGATGTTAAAAAAAAAGAATATCTATGTCATCACTAAGGAAATTCTGCCTTAAAGACAAACACTTCCACGACATTGTCATACTGTGCAAACATGGAATGATTTTAAAGGGTCACTCCACCTCTGCTACAAATAAGGTTCAGGTTGATCATCACAAGGAGTACTACTTGTGTAATGTCTTCTGAGGCTCTGGAAATCGCTTTTTGAAGTTTGAAAAAACAACCCCGATGATATCAAAGACGCCATATTGTGTTGCACTCTGGAAAACTTCTGTTCCATCATTTGTGGAGATTGGCCACTAAGTCGTGATATCCCATCCTTTGCTAAATCTATTCTGCTAATTATTCTTTTTTAAATCGGTCTCTTGTGGCTTTCCAAACAGTGTAGAAGTGCAAGATTAAATTGCAGGATTAATATATTGATTGTAGAAAGTATGATTAAAGTAAAGGGAAACAGTAAAACCAGAACAAGATCAAAATAACTGCTTTGTGAACTCCAGTCTGCTGTCATCACAAATTCAGCAACTTGTCTGTGGTAGCTCTCTCGCTTTCTGACTACATCGATTGTTTTTTTTTTTTTAAACCACTGCTTATTTTTTCAAGAATACATCAAACCATTGATGCGTTCCCAAACTATTCGGAGGGAATTGAATAAGTTGTACAAGATATGTGTTTAAAGTTAAAGATAGACTGTAAATGACTAAAACAATAAGAGCACAACATTTGTTGGAGGTCTTTGAATTCAGTCTGCCTTAATACATAGAATTTGCCATATGAGCCAGAGAACGTCGGGAGGCCAGCATCTAATAAACAGAAATTAGAAAACCTATGCATTGTACAAATAACATGTCAAACAGTTGTGGCTTCTCAATAATTCACATTCTTCATGTGCCTCTAACATTGTCAGATCATCAGCATTTATCAAACAACAACCAACCACACAGTAATCTCTTAAAAACCACAAAGGCAACAATATGTAAAGCTACAGATTGCATTGGTAGAGGTATGGGATGACTATGATTTTGACTCGTATGTTGAGTCCTTCAGCCCTCCGTGTCGCATGGTTTCAATGCCAGTTTGTCTGAACAATATCCTCCTGTAACTGACTGCATCGACCTGTGCACATTCAGATTATCAGTGTATTCATGCAGGCTGCGGTGCAGGTGGTAGAGCAATCCCACAGGAACATGACTTCAGTGAACAAGGAAAAACTTACAGTAAATATATGATATAACCTAATTTAGTTTTGGATCGTTTTTACAATCTCTGATATTCACTGAACTGCAACACCACATTATAGTGTTTACTAAATTAAATATGTTTTAATCCACATTCATTATTCAAATCACATAATTTACCTGTGAAGGTGAAAGCATATATAGAATATCTAGTGTCTGCTTTGAACCTAAATGCTTTTCTTCACAAAACTGAAACTGCAATTCAAGGCACTCTCACAGGTGTGTTTTCACCTGAAGATAAAGTTCAAGTTCATTCAAATCTCTTAAGGATATTTCAAGCGCTTGTGCTGGAAGCATTTCATTGATGAAGAATGAAACCTATCCTTGGACTGAGAGAGCAGAGTAAAGGAGCTGGTCCTAGTGACCAGGATGTCAAGTCTTCACAGTGATGGCATGATGGTGGCTAATAAGGTGTTGCATTAAGACACATAGCTGCAGCACCAACCTATGGAGTATCTAATGGTAACTGTACAAACACAGGAGCTATGTACAGACTAACAAGAATTCATATATACACACGGCAGCTTATATATTGGGGTGATATGAGCAACACAAACATCAACTATTTATAGAAACACAACATGAATGAACAGCACTTTATGTACATTCAGTGAATGGCAATGTACATAGATAAACGATGATAAAAATCTGCACTTTCAAGCCTGATTGGGCGAACTATACATCTTTAAAAGTACTACTACCATTAGACTGCACTCAAGGATTATGTACTGTAATATGGACATGAGGTATGTTGATGCAAATGAAACATAAAACTCAAGAATGGAGACAAGTATGTACATATGGTTACATACATGCTGGTTAAATATATACAGTATATGCACATAAGGTTGACTAGAACTATAATGAGATATCTTTTTGGTAACAGAGTTGGAAGACACAATGCTACTCAGATTAGAGAGTCCTCGCCTTGGGGTCGGTCGGCTGATATGATGAAGCTGGAGTGGGGCTGTGGGCATCCTGGGCTGAGGGCACAGCGGGAAAGGCAAACACTCCTGAAGGAAGGGGGAAGAGCAGCCCAGGCCACTGGCTAACAGAGAGAGGTGAGGCCCTGAATGGAGCAGGGGAGTGTGGCTGATAGGAGGGATGGGGCCCTGCAGAGGGGGTAGTCATCACTGTTGACCCAGGGCTGTCGGGCCATGACAGGGGCAGATTGCAGGCCTCTGGACCTGGAGCTGTCCATGATGATACCTACAAGGGTTACATCATGTGATCAGTGCAATGCTGGTGCTACACTGACAACCAATATTCATCGTACAGAATAATAGTGCTTAAGAAATGTATTAGACCACCACCCAGTGTAAGGTTTATGCCACAGCTGCCCTACAGCAGCATTAGTAATTACCCAAATATTGTTTTGATGTTTCTGCATTGGTTCATACACCAGTATGTAGAAGCTCTTTAACCCAAATGATGTTTTTAATGCTAAAATAAAATCACTACTGTTATCCATGAATTTTCAAATTTACTGTTTTACACAAAAACCCAGAAAAAAATGTAAAGCACATGATTATTTCTTGAATAAGATGTCAAATTACAATTATTTACTTGCATTCCTGAACAGAAAAAATAGTTTTGAATGTTATGCTCGATTCATTTCTGACTTCTCAGAGAAGCCCAGTGGCTCACATTTGGCTATAAAAAGGGGAATTCAGTTTCAAATTCCTCATTCCTGTTCAAAATAGTGAAACGTTGAGAGCTGAGTGCTCATTAAAGTACTTCATGGTGCTGGATATATACTGCTTAAGAAACTAGACAGGTGGTCTCATAAATCTGTTCAGCACATTGATACTAGGAATTCAAACGCAATCATCAGTTGAGATCTATTTTATCTCTAATATTTTACGGTATTTTCAGTATTTTACTGTTTAGTTTTCTCCACTTTACTAAAACACTGCATGTACGTACTTCTTTTACGAGCGACTTTCTAAATTGAAACAAAACTGCCGTGACACTCACATCTGAAGCACTAAGAAGCTGTTCACATGTTCGAGGGACAATCTGATCCCAAAGCTGCTGTCCACTGATACTCAGAGAGTTGGTGCGCGGCCGGTGGGTCACAATCAGAACTTCCTGGGCCCAGTCGTCCATCAGCCGCTGCAGGTCCTCAGGCAGGTTGCTTTCGGCGGCGCTTATGGACGTGCCGCTGTAGGTCTTGTTGTTGCTGTTGTTGGCCTGAGCTTGGGCCAGACCCATCACTGGCTGATGGGGAGGAGGCGTGACACCGGTAGGAAGCTGCTGTGATTGATTGAAAGCCCCTGAAGCTGAAGCTCCAGTCCCTGAAAACACACACACACACCATGATGAGGTGGTTAGAATGATAGTGGCAATATAGCTTTATATTAATTCGTTTTCAGAAGGACGCTGTATTTTTACTTACTGCTGCCGCGCTCTTTGCCAAGACACAGTCGCTTCAGCGTTGTCCCTACGAGAGAAACAAAAAGACTCGATACTCATGCACTTCACATCGGCTGGTCAAAATGTTCAGTAACAGGATGCAGTGCAAAACGAAGCTACTAAAAGCTGCCAAAGGAACAAACTAAAACCACAGTAACAAATGGGTAAGCAAAGCAATCAGTTCCCTGAAACGAGACAGTCCATGTATTAGGAAAGTCATGCAGGCGGCCCAGATTAGAGCCATATCAAAGTGCAGTGCCGGCGTATTAGAGAGACAGCGATAAGAAAGAGCCGAGAGAGATTAACAAAAGATGAGTGATTAGAAAATTCACAGTGGCTTGGGATGCATGTAGCATGCCCATGCAGAAATCCATTTCCTGGTGATGTGATGTGGATAAGTCACAAAACTGTGTGTGTCGCAGGGTGGACGAAGAGCACAAGTATCACTCAGAGACACTTGAAATGTGAGATAATGCACTAACTAATAAAATGAACGTTGATTATCCAAACCTTATAAAACAGCAAGTTGATAAGTAACTCTACAAGTATTTCTTCTTCTATCTGTGAGAATTGGTAACGAAATCAAATCATCTTTAACAGATCAACACGTCTGCTTCTTCTTAGGGGTTTGAATAAGCAATATATATTTTTGTGAAAGCAAAAATAAATTAAAGCGCAAGTGACAAAGATGAGGCGAAGCGAAAGAAAATCCGGCAGTGTTGCAGAATAGTCTGGCAGAGACAAAAAATATATATAAATCTGTGAGCTGAAATTAGATAAGTAGAAAATATGGAAAACAAAAAAGTGAAGCTATGCGGGAAGAGAAGAGATACAAACAGATAGACAAAGACACAGGCCCACTGAGAAATCTAGCTCGTGGCTTGCTACTCGATTTATAGGTCACTCTCTCAGATGGTTGAGGGTAATTAGACCAGCCTGTAGAGGGGCATAATCAAGGGAAGAAGACGACAGGGTAAGAAGAGCACACACTAAAATACTCACACTAACAAAAAAATACTGCTGCAGGGTTTTTTTGTTTTAACATATTAATTCTTTGGTAAATCTACAGTTTGCATTAATGGAAAGACTGATGGGCTGCAACGCTCCGCTGTGTACCTTGTCCAGGTGGAGCTTGTGTGCCGGTGCCGTCTCCATGTAGTCCAGCATAAATATTGTCAGAAGACAGAGAGCCTTTGAGGGAACAGGGCTGCTGAGTCTGCACAGGCTCTGAGGTGGAGCTGGGAAGGTGGCTGGTGCACGAACGTGCTCTGCTGTGAGTGGGGAGTGGCCCTTTGGCCGGAGAGCCGTTTAAACTCACTGTGGGCTCACTTGTGCCTGCAGCAGCACCTGGACACGCAAACACATTAAGAAAACACAAGAAAAAGCTCAAAGGGCATCCGTGGATTTGTTGGGTTTTCATGTGTATTTCAGAAGCATTGTAACTTTAATTCAGTTCTACACCGCCGCCATCGAAGCTGTCCTGTGCAGCTCTGTCACTGTGTGGTTCGGAGCAGCCGCACTGCAGGACAGAAACAGACTGCAGCGCACAGTCAGAACAGCTGAGAAAATCATCGGAGCCCCCCTGCCCTCCATCCAGGAACTGTACTCCAATAGAACCAGGAAGAGGGCAGGGAACATCACCACAGACCCCACTCATCCTGCTCATAAACTGTTCTCCCTCCTCCCCTCTGGCAGGCCATACAGAGTCCTGCAGACTAAAACCACCAGACATAGAAACAGTTTTTATCCCACTGCTCTAACCCGACTGAACAGCTGAGCCGTTCTCAGCCATAACACTGCTTACATCGTTATTTGCACCACTGTACATATATGTTTTCTGCTCAGATGTGTATATTCTTGTATATATTTATCTTATTTTATTTTGTATTATTTATTTTACTTTGTTTTTATTCCTTATTTTCCTATTTCTATTATTGTGCTTGCTCATTCTTCGAGCAACACCAATAACTGAAACCAAAATCCTTGTTATGTTGTGTACGTACTTGTGGACGTAAACAACAATGACACAAACATGAGGATGGTATTACTCCACACTTTTGCTCTAAATGTTGAATTTATAATGCTGGAGGTTCTCTGAAGGTACTCACTGGCTTTGCTGGAGTCACTAGCTTTGGTTGTGACATTTCTAAACTGTTGAACCAGAGGACTGAGGAGTTTGCCTGGTTTCAGTCTGTGCTTGCTGGACCTCTTTCTACGGCCGGCATGCGGTCCAGTGTTTGAGAGTCCCAGGCCAGGAGGAGGGGCTTTGCCAAGTCTGCGATAGAGCAGCTCCACTTCCCCCCGCTGATGGGCCTGCAGCTCTGAGATCTCCCTCAGATGTCTGGGAGGATGGAGGCAGGAATATACGATCAGTTATGAGCTACATGACGAGGTTTTTTCATGTACAGACACTACATGAGACAGAAAGTAAACCACAAGGTATGCTTACTTCTCCCTGAGTCTCTGTAGTTCCTTCTTTATGTCCGAGTCCTCCATCTCTGAGTCATTATCGCTGCTGGCGTATGCCGAGCCGTGCACGCCTCCATGCCTGTTTGGTGAGTCCGAGCTCTGCACGCTGCTGCTGCGACCGGAACGACGGAGAAAGGCCACGGCCCTCTTCATGAGGTCGCTTCCTCGGCGCTCAGAGCGAGAGTGTTGAGACGGGGTGGCAGGGGCCAGTTTTGCTGGACTGCTCTCAGCCCCCGAGTCTGAGGACAGGAAGCGAGCATGGACCGTCACATCCACAGGGACAGAGTTTGAGGTCAGAGCGCGAGGCAGGGAGCCTCGCTTGGCCATGGACGGAGGTGTGTCCAGGTAGAAATCAGGTGGGGCAGAGTAGCGGCTGCAGCGTGTCCTCTGGGTAATGTCGTCTTCAGTGCTCACCACAGAGAAGCGGCCGATTGTGGTGGAGGTAGCCATGACCTCAGCCTGAACGTGGTCGCCACCGTACTCCACAGGGTGCGCCGGTGAGGCAGCGCTGCTCCAGCTCCTTTGCTTCACATCTCGTCTGTTGGCCACTTCAGGAGGAACAGAGATTATCTGCCAGAAGTAAAGAACCGGCTGAGTATCCATACGGCAGCATAATGCTTTGGGGATTAAATACGCAATTTTAAGCTGCATGAAAGACAGTTCCACCTCGGCCTTGAGTATGAGAAAAATCTCCTTTTTATACCTTGAATCGACCTCTTGTTCCAGAGCAGGAAGCAGAGTGAGGGACATGTCTTCTTGACAGGGAAGCTGCAGGAAAATTTCCACAACAGTAAATACTGCGCCACTGCAGAAATGATCTAATTTCAAAATGTGGTGTTAGTATGCTGTACATACCACACACAGCTGAGTCACTCAGTGTGCTCAAACTATCCATTCTCTCTGGAATTTGAGGCTTATAGAGGCGACAGGATGAGAGATAAACAAAAGTGAGACACAGGAAAACTACAATAGCATCCACTGATGATTGTCCTAGAGCGTACTTTTAAGAAGGAACGTCAAACTAAATATTTGTCATGAAATCTTACAGAACAGTTTCCTTAAAAATGTATTTCCATGCATCAGAATGACAGACAGGATAGCTGATCATATTTGGAACGTATCTGTTAATATATCAAACTAAATATTTAACACCAGCACTAATTGGCAGACAGTGCTGTTGTACTCACCAGCTGTTCTCCTGCCCTGTAGCGTCCCTCCCCTATGGGCCCCGGTGTGCTGTTTCCTGACCCTCCTGTGGCGCTGTCTGGACCTGGAGGAGACTGGATGTACTCCGTGCCAGATCCTGGTGTCTCTGCAGCACTGCCGGATGGATACATGGGAGCATATTCCTGGTAGAGCAAATTCCTTAGCTTTTCATCCAGAGTTTTTATGGTGCTGTCTACAAAGCCCCCGCGGCCCAACCGTCCTTCCCCGTCGGACTCGCTGGGCCCTGCACCGTGCTGGGATGGCGCCGGGCTCTGGGGCAGTGAGGACACTTTGGCTCCTCCCACGGTGGAAAACGGCTGGTGGAGCACCACAGGCTGCTGTGGCCGCTCGCTCCGGGCTGCAGGGGCGTAGGACATAGACGGAGGCTCTTTGGCTGAACCTGGGTCCTGAAGGGGGAGAGGAGTGAGAGGAGACCCACCCTGCGAAGCGCTCACATCCAGAGACAGGGGCATGACTAGAGGGCAGCAGGGCACCTCGTCAGCAAGAGAGACAGGACATGTCATATCGGACATCTGCTGAGCTGCGTGGATTGGGGAGATGGAGCCCAGAGGGGATCCCTGGGACTCCTCTACTGGGAAAGACGCGTGTGGGGATGATGGGGGAAATGTTTGAGCTCTGGCTGGCTGGGCTTGATGCACATTAGGCTGCACTGAGCTGCCTGCTGGATCCACAGAGGACACTGACTGGAGGGTCGGGGGTGCAGAAACAGGGGGAGACAGAGTGGCTAAGAGGAGTGGATCTGTGTTGGACATTATTGGAGGACTACAGAAGCCATACACCTCGTAGGAGAAGCCTCCACTTCCACCAGACATCGTGGAGGATGACCCCTCTTCTGCAAGAGAAAAAAAATATGTAAGCGCAAAAGTTAAGCAACATTGTAAGACCCAATGACATGCCAGCTCTGATATTTAATCTGCCGTGAAATGACTATTTGCCCATCGCAGCAGAAGGATGTTTTAATCCAGCTACCGCTAGGTAGTGCTATTGTTCCACAAAGCTGCCAGGTATTGTGCTGAAGTTGCTCTGCAGAAACAAAGTCACCTCTGGATGTGGAGGGCCTTGCAGTGCCACTGTCAGCAGGCTGGGTGGTGGCTGAGCTGCTAGGGGACTGTGTGGTCGTCCCATCAGACGGAGTCTCCTGACTGGACGTAGGTGTCTCCTCTACAGGGCAGATTATGAACCATCGCTTTCCTGTATGAAGAACTGCAACCCAAGACATCAAAAATGTTGGCACAAGTTAATGTGACAAGCACAGAAGGATTCACCAGACATGCATAATGCTGCATTTTTGAAAAAGAACACCGTTTTACCGTTTTGCTGATAGACAGGCTGAGCTGCTCCGGGCTGCTGACTCTACAGAGAGACATGTACAGACGTGCGCTAAATCTATATGCTGCGTGCTTTGTCACACATTCATGTCCAAATATATTAGCTGAGTGTTTGTACAGATTTCTAACCCCTTCTTACCTCTCCTGGCTGCCCGTCAGACATCTGGCCTTGTAGAGGACTACAGCTCAAAGTCGTGTCCCTTTCACCCTCCATGTCTTCATTCAGCATGTCTTCAGCTTTATCCACAATGTCCTTCAGCTGGTCGATGAAGATCTCCTTCTCCAACAATAGTATGAACCCATTCTCTACCTGGAAGCACACAGTTTTGTTAAACGATGTCACAAACATATCCAGACAGAAATTCTAAAAAGGCTGAACCTACCATGTAAGTGGCAATTTCCTCGGGAGCATCTCCATCCAGGTCAAATTTAAATGTCACCATTTTGTGGTTGTGAGTCTCCAGCTGGCATTCTACCATTTTATCACCAGTGTTGCAAACCTGCAGGGGCAGCGGTGACATTTTACAATCAGAAGCATAAAGATTGTGAGAAATTGGAACTTTATTCGCCACAAATTACACCATGACTCACATTGAGCATGCTCAGTTTGGGTTTGCTGGTCTTTTCTTGCCTGGAACGTGTGCGAGCCGACTTGCGGTGATGCTTCCTGGGTTTTCCATCCCCCTTCCCCCCACTAGCCAAGCTGTCATAGCCGTCACTTGCTTCCTTACCAGATGCTACATCAGAGTTGAGACTACAAAAGGCAAAGTTTAAAACACGTTATCGCCTTTTCATCAAACACAATTATAAAGAGAGACGAATCTGTAAAGAGCTAGAAGTCACTGGACACACACCTGTCATATGCATAACTGGGTAAAGATATTAGTTTGTCCCGAAGCCCATCCTGAAGACAGAAAAACGGGAAAGTGCAAAACAGTTAGAAGTCAAGGAATTATATATATACAGAAAAGATCATTGCAGGACTAAGTAACACTAGTGAAAATGTTCACGTGTGCTGTTTTTGAACTTAAAGATCCTAAACTAAGATGGACCGGTTTCATATCAGCATGGATGTATAAAAACCAATTGGACGTCATTCATTCAGAGGAAATTTTCATTCAGCAAATGCAGATTTTTAAGAATCTGATTGTAGTATAAATCAATATTGCTCCACTAAAAAGTGCAGACTTTCTCTCTGTGCCTACCTCTACACAGGGCTCTTGCTGAAGGGTGCTAGATGCAGGTGTCGTCTCTAGGTTTTGCTGAGTTGTGGCCAGGTTGGCACTCTCGGGCACTGAGACTGCTGTCTGGATGCCAGCAGGCTGCAGAACTGGAGCTGCGACAGGAGCTGGAGCAGAAACAGGGGCTGCAGACTGAATTGAGACCAAACCTTGGACTGAGAGTTGTGGTTTGCCCATGGCAGAAGGTTTGTCTGAGCAAACAGAGGAGACATTTGTTTGTTCTAAAGTGGGACCCGATGCAGACGTCGGTGCCTGAAGTGACGCTGAGGCTGGAGCTTGAACTGCTGTTGGAACTTGTACTGGGACTGAAGCTGAGGCTTTAAGGAGGGTTGGGGCTGCAGTCTGAGCTGATACTGGGACTGAAGGTTGGTTCCGTGCTCGCATCGGAACCGGAGTTTGTGCTGGGGCTTGAGGTTCAACTTGGACTGTCGCGGACAATGAGACTGGAGCCGGAGTTGAACCTGCAGGAGCTACAGTTAGGTCCAGGCCACTTGCAGTAGTTTCTGTATCTGCTCCGCTTCCCCATAGAGAAGTCTGAACAGCACAGGAGGCAGGGTGGCCCACAGCCAACAGCTGAACATCTCCCAAAGTCCCATGCGGAGCAATCACCTGCATGGGGAAAACAACAAAACAGCACCTTTAAGGAATTGTTCTTCAGGTATTACAAGTATTGTTTACCTCTGCACCCCTAAACGCATGCCCTGCATGCATTACACGGTTACACCATTAACACACAATGCCACCTTAGCATTACAGATTTCCTACGACCACAACCATTACAGTGAGAACTGAGTCAAATATTCACCTGCAAAGGCTGCTCAGCCAGTTGAGGCTCAGGGTTGGGGACGGGGTATGGGGTGGGTTGTACCTGAGAGAGGGGTAAGGGATGGGTGGAATGGAAGGTACTGAGGTTTGGCTGAGATGTGGGAGGGCCGCCCTGCTGCTGCTGTGGCAGTGCAGGGGACATGGCCATGGTGAGAAGTGGAACAGGGAGCGCCATACTGGGCACGTGCTGAGGTGTGGACAGAGGAGTCTGAGGGGTGCCGAGGATAGGTACAGGGGGGAAGGTAGCATGAGGGGTCAGAGGAAGAGTGGGATGGTGGGGCGAAGGGGAGAAGTAGGCGCTAGACATAGGAGGGTCACTGCTGCTGTAGGCAGATGGCAGAGGGGAGAAGGAAGGAGGCTTGTGGCCCCCTGTCTGAACTACAGGATATGGTGAGGGAAACTGGGAAAGAAAAAGGGAAAATGATATAAAATGAACAAAGACAACCAGTCGGCAGAAATAACATTCACACAGGCCCCTCATGTATTACTCAACCCTGCAACCTATGTGAACACTTGGTAGGATGTTTTTTGTTCTTAGTTTGTATTTGTGTTTCTGATGCTACCACAACACACCTGTGTGCTGATCTGCAGGGGCAGGAGTGGGGGAGGAGCACTGGAGAGTGACTGTGGAAAACTGGTGGATGTATCAGGAGGACTCAGGTGAGATGCAGGGTGCTCAGCAGGTAACAGCTTAGAAAGGAAATCAAACATTTTGGGTTTTTTTACTTTGACAGTATGAATTTTGAATTTGAAATACAAGCTAGTTTTTCATTAAGCTGACAAGATCTTCAGTTCTAAAAGCTCCACTTGATACAAGTGAGCTGCAGGGCAGGCAGATCTAATGATTCAGTTAAGCTGCGTGGTTTGCAGTGTACTGCTCTACCTGGGGCAGGATAGCAGCTGGTTGGAGGTGGCACTAAAGGGAGGAGAGACAAATGGGAAGGAAACACAAACCACATGAATAGCTATTCACATACACACACGTATACATAGATATAAAGGTCAGTACACATTTACTATAGGAGGGAAAATCAAATGCACTTTTTCTCGTCGTGCTTTTTAATGGACTGTGTCACCAAAGTCACACATTTACCAAAATTAGCCTTTTTGCAGTCAAAGTGGAGCAGCCTGCAAGCGTGCAACGCATCCCAAACATGCAAGTGTGTTCAGATCAGTCAGTGATACAAACACAGCAGACCTACACTGTAAAAAGATAAATAATAAAAAATCTGTATGTTTATGGATTTTTTCTCCTTTCTTATTTGACCTTTTGTTCCATGTATTTTTGAAATACACAAACATATAAATAAAATGACTGATATAGACCTTGAGTTTAAATCTAATAATGTCTTGAAATTAGCTTTTAAAACCCATAATTGTGAATAATAATAATAATTTCCATTTTGTATGGTTTTTTAAAATATTTTTTGACATTAAAAGACTTAAAATAAATTTGAAAATCAATTGCAATCCAACAGATATTTTATTTTAATTGTAATGAATGAAAGGGTGAAATTCAAGATGAATGCTGTCAATATATTTCTACAATTACTGACAATTAACAGAACATCTATTATTATATATTATAGGTAAATTAATTGTTGTGCACATATAAATATCCTTCATTACATGGAAAAATGTACAAAATGTATTTTAATTCAAAATGAAAATATTTATCATTGGAAAATTGCTTAATTTTTTTTTAATGAGATGGTTTTTTTCCACTATTGTACAATATTTTCTGTTGGGATATTACAGTTTGTTTGGTTTTTAGTAGTGCAGCCAGGCAGCTGAGTGAGCTGCAGTGGGTGACTTTCAAACTTCTGCTTCCTAATTCTGCTTTTTGTGTTGCGTCACACTTGTATATTTGCAGTACCTGCTCCTGGCTGGGTTGAGCAGTAAGCTGCGTCTGTGGAGTCGGGGCTGCAGCTGGGAAGCTCTGTGCTGTCTGTCTATTCTGGTGCGCAGTAGGGGCTGGCGTAGCTGGAGCAGAAACTGTCTGAAACACATAAGAAAGGCCAAGTTTATATTATGACTGTATGTCTGATAGAACAAATTAAGCTCAGAGTTTAATGTGTCAAAGCAGGTGTAGTCACTGGCAAGAAAGTACAGAGTAATGTTTTTTTAGCAGCTGGCATGGTTCAATAAGGGAAGTTAAAATGGAAAAGGGGAGCTGCAGCATCAATCTATCGTCACCCATCATGTTCACTGCAATACACTCTACAGCTGAAGCACCTGGAGCGAGAAGATTGAGCCCTTATTGGGGATTAAGCAGCAGCAGACTGGCTGTTAACATATGTGGCCAGAGGAGTGAGGAGTCATGGATGATACAGCAGGCTGCTGCTATGGAGCTATTAAGCCTGCGTGAAGCCTCCCTCTCTGACCTACCAGTGGATCTGCACTGCCTTCGCTGTAATGTGGAGATAACAGCGGGTTCCTGTCCAGATTGGGGGAACAGCAGAGAGGTACATCCAGGCTCTGACTCTTGTGTATATCCTCAAACACTGAGGAAGTACTACCTCCCACCTCCGCGTGGCTGTGCACTGGATGAGTAACACCTCCTCTGTCAGAGAGGGTGGGGGAACTGGTCCTGCGACTGACAATGTGACGGAGACAGTAGTTGAGAAGAGTGAGATCTCCACCTTCATACAGACTCCGTGGAAGCACAACTCGTGGGGGTGGGGACAGACGTGAGGGCGAAGTGGCCGGGGACGGCTGACTGTCTGATGACGGGGGCGAGGTCAAATGAGCGGGCAGAGCGACCGCAGGGCAGCTCGAGCGATGAGGAGATGTGGCCGAGCCTGGCTTTGACACTGGTGTAAACTGGGTGGAGGTGGAGAAGGTGCGTTTGTGTATGTGCCCCAGTGATTCGCCTCCCTTTGCCCTGTCCTTGACGAGGAGAGACATGCAGGCCTTGCAGTGTTGGCGGAGCTGTGGGCTGCGTGGGACATTCAGACGGAGCTCTGAGGGAGGTTGTAAATTCGGGGGAAGGTGAGGTGAATCAAAATAACTTGCTGAGTCATGATGAGAGTGTTGATGGGGGGGCAAGAAAGTAGATAATAATGATGGATTCTGGGCTTCCCATTTAGAGTATGGGTAATCTGTATTATGCAGTGGACTCCCTGCGAAATTTGTTGATGCCAGATCCTCTAATGGACACTGGCAGGGACTTGGAGTCATTGTCTTAGTGAGAGAGTGTAACATCTCAACCACGGAGGCGCTGCCACGCCTAAGACACACTGTGCTCTCAGTGATGAGCAGGTTCTCATGGCAAACAAAGGGATCACTGTAGTGACGCTGATCGGGTTTCATTTCAAAAAAGAAAAATAAAATTTCAGTTATTTAAGAAAACAACCAGCAAAAACAAAAATGAAAACTGAATGGAAACAGAGCAAGACACTCGTGTACTCACTGTTTGACAATGATAAGGCCCCTGATGCAGTTGTGCTGCAGGTTGTTGAAAGGCTCCAGGATGCAGCTGACCTGCCGTTTGCTGGTAGGCTCCCTGGTGTAATTGTGTGGATGCTTGTGTGTAGCTTTCATGTGAGACCTGTGCTGTGGGCTGCTGGTAGGGTCCCTGGTGCAGCTGAGGGTCAGGCTGCGCGGGAGGGCTGTAGACCATCTGAGCTGTGGAGATGGGCTCTGGAAGCGACTGGTAGGGGCCATTCTGCTGATTGTTCAGATCGTCTAATTGCATGGTGGAGCTCACTCCGCTGTCGGCTGTAATAACACAGTAAACAGAACATTATAATTCTCCGTGATACTCTCTGCAGGACGGACAGACACTCAGGGAGGACAGGGGGAGAAGGACACAGTGCAGGATCGCCTCATTAGAAGTCCAGCGCTGGCTCATGATGCTACTCACACACTGTAGTTGCCATTTGTCTATTTGCATCTTATATTCTAAATCCTGATTAAAACTATTTCCTAAAATATGAAGGTCGTTTTTCTTTGTTTCTAAGCTTTCTTGTATTTCCATTCAACCAGTTTTGGATTGTTTCATATTTCCATCCATCATCTATACACCGCCTAATCCTCACTAGGGTCGCGGGGGGCAGGAGTCTATCCCAGCTGACTCAGGGTGAAGGCAGGTTCACCTGGACAGGTAACCAGTCTATCACAGGGCTACACTTAGAGACAGACAACCAAGCACACTCACATTCACACCTACGGACAATTTAGAATCACCAATTAACCTCAACATGTTTCTGGACTGTGGGAGGAAGCCGGAGAACCCGGAGAGAACCCACGCTGCACGGGGAGAACATGGAGACTCCACGCAGAAAGATCCCGGGTGTCCTCACCAGGAGGCGAACCAGCGACCTTCTGGCAACGATGCTAACCACCGAGCCACCTTGCAGCTCTGTTATACTTATTTATTAGAAAAAAAACTTAGCACAGTAGATAGAACCTAATGGCTACACTTAGAAGTTCCATGTTTTGCTCTTTTCAGCAAGTTAATAAATGTCTCACATGTCCCCAGAATGTGTCTCAGTGTTTTTTTACTGTAAATGCTGCAGAGGTTTCACCACGACTGTATACCTTGTGGTTTTAGTCCTGTTCTGAACAGGCTGTTTCAGTGTCTGTAGCTGTAAATGCAGCTAAACTGCTGCTGTCCCTCTTCAGGAAGAAGACTCTCTCTGTGTTGAGTGACAGCACAGAGCAAAACACAGATGTGAATGAATGTGTGGGACCAAGACTTTCTACCACTTTTACGTTTCTCTCTGAGCGATCATTGTATTTAGAAATGTGGCACAGCTGTTGTTTTTAGTTCATGTGTCGGGTGAGTTTGTCAGTCAATAACCTGTTTATAAAAATCTGTACTTTCGTGGTGCAGATCTGCAGCTTGGGAAAGTTCCCCAGATGCTGGAAGTGCATGAACACTTTTGTGTTCACTCTTGCAGCCCACAGCTAACATTGGTGAGTTTTGCTTGAGATGTTTTAGAGTTAGTAGAAGCAGCTGTAGAAAGTAAATAAGCCTGGTGGAGCGTGAGGCAGCTGCTCATTCTGAATGGCTCACTCTGATGCAGCAGGCAGTGAGGAGGCAGAATTATACAAAGTCTGAGCTTGACGACTATTAGTTCGTTAGCTGATGTAGCTGTTCAGTAAAATTCTACGAGCTTGCAAAGCTGGAAGCCTATGTAGTTGCGGGAGGGCAACCAGAGAGCAACAGCAGAAGTAAACGTCATCAACAGCTTTTACTTTATACCTCTAAGTTTGTAACAACCATAAAATACAATAAAATGGATTTTCCTCATGTGGGACCTTTAACCACAGTTAGACACCACGTTCCAAATTATTATGCAAATCGCATGTAAGGGTCATGAAGATTACATTTTTAGTTTTTCAATTAAATCCATGGATGGTATTGTGTCTCAGGACTCTTTGGAGATCAGTCTCAGACACCTGTGATAATTAGTTTGCCAGGTGAGTCCAATTAGAGGAAAAACTACTAAAGAAGGGAGCCAGTTGAGGTGGCTCGGGCATCTTTTCCAGATGCCTCCTGGACGCCTCCCTGGGGAGGTGTTCCGGGCGCGTCCCACCGGGAGGAGACCTCGGGGAAGACCCAGGACACGCTGGAGGGACTATGTGTCCCAGCTGGCCTGGGAACGCCTCGGGGTCCCCCCGGAAGAGCTGGGGGAGGTGTGTGCGGATCGGGAAGTCTGGGCGGCTTTGCTAAGGCTGCTGCCTCCACGACCCGACTCCGGATAAGCGGGAGAAGATGGATGGATGGATGGACTACTAAAGAAGGATGTTCCACATGATTAAGCAGACCACCATTTTCAAGCAATATGGGAAAGAAAAAGGATCTCTCTGCTGTCGAAAAGTGAAAATGCCTTGGACAAGGTATGAAAACCTTAGATATTTCACTAAAACTCAAGCGTGATCATCGTGCTGTTAAGAGATTTGTGGCTAATTCAGAGCACACACGGGTTGGTTCAGATAAAGATACAACGAGGAAGGTTTCTGCCAGACGACTACATCGGATTAAGAGAGCAGCTGCTAAAATACCATTACAAAGCAGCAGACAGGTATTTGAAGCTTCTGGTGCCTCTGGAGTCCCACGAACATCAAGGTGTAGGATCTTCCAGAGGCTTGCAGTTATGCATAAACCTTCTAGTCGGCCACCCCTAACCAGCGCTCACAAGCAGAAACGGCTGCAATGGGCCCAGAAATACATGAAGACTAATTTTCAAACAGTCTTGTTAACCGATGAGTGCCGGGTAACCCTGGATGGTCCAGATGGATCTAGTAGTGGATGGTTGGTGGACGGCCACCATGTCCCAACAAGGCTGCGATGTCAGCAAGGAGGTGGTGGAGTCATGTTTTGGGCTGGAATCATGGGGAGAGAGCTGGTCGGCTCCTTTAGGATCCCCAAAAGGTGTGAAAATGACCTCTGAAAGGTATGTGGAGTTTCTGACTGTCCACTTTCTTCCATGGTACAAAAAGAAGAACCGTGCTTTTCGATACAAAATCACCTTCATGCTGCAAGGAATACCTCTGCATCATTGGCTGCTATGGGCGTAAAGGGAGAGAAGCTCATGGCGTGGCCCCCATCCTCCCCTGACCTGAACCCTACTGAGAACCTTTGGAGCATCCTCAAGAAAAAGATCTATGAGGGTGGAACTGTTTACATCCAAACAGCAGCTCTAGGAGGCTACTCTGACATCCTGAAAAGAAACTCAAGCAAAAAGTCACGAGTTCGACAGATGCTAGAATTGTGAAGCTGTTATCAAACAAGGGGTTCTGTGTTAAAATGTAACTGAACCTGTGAAGTTGTTTCTGATTGAAATAGCTTTGACTTCAGTAAATATGACCTCTTAAGGCTGCAAATTCAACAAATGACCATTTTCAGTTCTTGACAACCTATCAAATGTTTTCTGCTGTGCGTAATAATTTGGATCAGTACATTTTAAGTTTTTTATTTTTGAAAAAAATGCTGCTGTCATCGGGAGGTTTGTTCAATAACAATCGAATTAATGTTTGATGACTTGAAAATTATGCTGACTGTCGTTTGCATCGACTATTTAGGAAAATCAAAGAAAAATGTAATTGGCATATTAATTTGGAACAGGATCAGTGACGTTACATCACACACCACACATTTACGTGTTTGTTAATTCCACTTCTTACATGTGGTAGAGGCTGTGGTGGGCACGGTGCAGATCAGAGTCTGCTGTTCCGCCTCTTGATCCTCATAATCTGCAGCGCCTGCTGTGGCTTTCTGTGGTACACCAGTACTGGGAACCTGCAGTAGGTTCTGCTGCATCTTCTTCACGGCTACTTCACCGTTTCCGTTTGGCGAGACGGTCCGCTCCCTCCTCCACTTGATGAGAGCCACGCGGTCTCGAATGGACTTCCCGACGATCTTCACGTCACAGTCCAGGAAAAAACCCGATTCCACCTGCAGGTAAGACACAGGTACGATACTCACTGCATGAAATGCATCAAGGCTGTAACTCCTTATGTAGTGAATCAGTCGATCTTCAGCCTCTTCTGAACTGCCTTTTAACTGATCAGTTGCTCCAGTTTCAATCAATACAGAACATGCTTCAGGTTTATCACTACAGGCACTATGTTCCAGACCACTGACCAACTCCCATTTACATCAGACCTAATTAAAAGAGCCCAGGCTTGTATCTCACAGTAAAGACGACTGCATTAATACCAGACACTTACATGCTGGCATTGTCTATGAGAGAACAGTACATAGGTAACAATCTGCAACAATCTGTGCTGATACATCAGAGGAGAATCACTACATCTCCTCTCTTACATCGCTGTGTATTATTATGTGTAACCCACAGCCACCTATCACAGGCAAAAAGAGACACTGTTTTACCCAACCATGATTAACTGATAATATGGCACAGGCAGAAGTATTGTTGCTATGGTTACCTGCAGCTTAAAATGTCTTGCAAGCCAATAAGAAATATGTATTTACAATGGCTGTGGCTGCGTGAATGTTTTTTGTGTGTGTCTATTTTCTGTTTGCATTTAATGATTATTTCAGAAACACATTTTTCTTTTTTACCATTTCTTGCGCCACAACTTCCGGGACCTCATTCACCAAGTTAAAGGTGAACTCAATGGCACCGGTATCTTTGTATTTCCCCTTCAGCTTTTTCGGATCTTCAACCCACAGCTTCAGAGCGATAGACGACTTCTTGCCGTCGTCTTCCTCATTGAGCTCCACCCTGACGCCCGTGTCCTCGGCGAAGAACGCGTGATTCAGGAGGTCCTTGATGGAGTACCTGCAGGGGAATTCACAAGCACAGGCTACTGCAGGTTACTGTGTCAGTAAAACCTAATGATGCACGACACGGAGGAACTTCAGCTGTGTCAGAACCAAATACTGGTATTAACGTCACACTGCAGGAGCAGAAACAAGACAGCCTGAAGATGAGGGTAGAGCTCCAGCTACATAAAAAATGTGTCAAGTCAAAGATCCCACTTACCTTTCTTCCCACCTGTGACAGATACACTCCCCTATTATCTCCTTAATTTCTGGGTCACTGACTTTGCTGTAGCTGGCAGGTTTCACCCCCTAAAAAAAACATAAAAAAACAAGCCAGCAGCAACATGTCTCAGCTCACTTAATGACACAGTCAAAACAGCGGTACTTAGAGCATGACTGAATAACAGAGGCAACAACTTCTGTCTGCAGTGTCAGGAAACATTAATTACAGACTCTCCAAAACACATTTTCTCCCAGACATCTCAGCTCTGGGGATTAAGGAGCTGCTGCTGCTGTACAAGGAGAGTTCTGGAGAGCTGGAGGAGAAAAAAGTCAGATTTAAAAGTTTAATTCATGGGAATAAAAATGGACCGTTGCGTGATTTAGTGTTGCTACTTGCTCTGGTATGAGTAGCACTGGTGGCTAAAGTCAGCTAATGTTAGCAAATGTTATGTAAATTTTAACTAATTGTATGACTCTTCTACGCTTGTGCTGTCACATTTACATTATGTTTGCTAACGTGAGATAACGCTAAATGAGTACAATATGTGATCGTAAGAGGTTCTCTAAAAAGCGACTTGGTTTTTACAGAAGCTCAGGATTACCGTGACCTTAATGATCGAGAATCTACAAACATAAAAACATGTAATTTACCATCCAAACACCAAAACGCACCGGCAAGTTTGAAAGGCATGTTATTTACAAAAAAAACCAACAACAATATCTTTAGATTTTCAACTGTGATGTACCAAATCTTTAAATTGTGATATTTCATCATACATGTCTCATTTAATTATATATTTATTTGGTTTATTTTGTGATTGTGTTGTGTGTTTATTTGTGGACGTGTGCTGCTGCCTTTCTTGGCAAAGAGAACTTGTGAAAGAGACTTCGATCTCAACGGGTCTTTTATCTGATTAAATAAAAGGTAAAATATATATTTAAAAAAATAATTAAAAAAAAAAAAAAAATATATATATATATATATATATATATATGTATATAACTGCCAAAAACAAACTGTGCACTAAACAGATTTCTGTAAAAAAAACAGTGTTTCTCAGTGCATCTGCGAACCCACAAGTACCTCAGCAGCAACCAAAAATTCACATAACAAAAACTCAGGGACTTTTCGACTGAACTGCAGGCTGTGTTTACGCAGAGCAACTATGAGAAACCAATTACAAGTGTATGTTGTAAATTATCTCTAAGTATGTAGAGTCACTGTTGTTATCCAGGTATTGGCAACACCTCTTGGAAAGGGTTGTACATGGTGATTCCAGGTTATTTCAATTTTTATAAAATAAATAGTCAAAGAATTTCAACAGTCTTAGCTTTTTCATTAATTCTGCTAAATGTATTCTAACTCAGACATTTCTGAGTTCTCTCTCTACTTCTTACCAGTGGTTGTCCTGCATGGACTTTATTTTACAGTGAAAAACGAGCCCAAAGTGAGCAAAGATGTGTGAAGAGGAATAAATGCCCAGAAGCTGCTTGGGGGCATTAATTGAGTGTTAAGACATAGAAGTACGTGGTAAATAGGTTTAAGTCACAACACCAACAGCAGCGGCGGCTTTAAACGTGAACTCACGCTGGTGACTTTGCGGTAGATCTGAGCAGCGTTCTGGCACTCGGAGTAGGGGTATTCTGAGGTGGCCATCTCCAACATACACATCCCAAAGGCGTAGACATCCACAGCCTCGTCATAGTGCTCCTCGTACATCTCTGGGGCCATGAACTCTGGAGTTCCTGGAAATTGAACGCAAGAGAGGGTGATAAATTATAAACTCACATGCGGTTACTCGGGTTTCATTCCATTTCAGCGAGATCAACAGCAAGATATTGAGCATGCCTGCTGAGTCACGATTCCAAATATTTTTCAGTTACTCCCCTGACAGCAATATGAGGGTTCATCTATGTCCATTCTATAATTCTATGCGAGAAAAATCCATCCAAACTGTAGAGGACATAAAGTAGACGCAATGTTGACTTTTATTAGGATTAAAGAGGCAGTAAAAGTTAAAAGATGCAATTATTACCAATGAAACCAAAAGTTACCAGAGTTGTTGTCTGTAACATCAGGCAACATGGCATGTGGGATTGTGGGTAATAAAAAACACGAGAGGTAGTAAAACTGGTTTTAAAACAATCTGTTTATCATAATATACAGTTTAACGCAGCGAGAACCAATAGTTGGATATTAAAAATGGACTCACTCTTTTACCACCCAACGCCACAGCTCCCTTTATCTTTATGGCGCTTCATAGTGTTCCTCCATTATTGTTGTATTATGTTCTTTGTTATCTTGCCCAGAAGTTGACTTTCTGGTTCACGCTCACTGTGCTCATCAATGTGTGGCGTTTTCAATTAAAAACCTCTAAAAACTACTGAACCCTAGGGCGGCCGACGGGGGCAAACGACGTGCATATACACAAACGAGCTGCATGTACACGATTGTGTTGCATAAACAGAAACGCGCTGCAAAAAGAAAACGCTGCACATCCACTCACACAACGGAAGTGCCCCACCCAGGCCTCTAGGGGCAGTAGTGAGCTTTTCACCTGAGACGCAGATAAAGGTGAGCGAGACGAGCAACGTTAGTTGAGGGAGAAGTCAACCCAGTCTCATGGCAATTCGTGAAATAGTCAAAACTTAATATTATTATATTACTGTACACACAAAAACATTACACACTCTGTAGGACGGATCTCTTCTGGGTCTCTGGCGAGGCTGCGCGCCGATGCTAACAGGGTTGCCTTAGCAACGAGCACAAATTTCCCCCAAACACTGCCGGTGTAATAAAAACACAAAAAATACCACAATACAATGTACTCTTTTACGTTTTACACTCGCTGCGATCACAGCACATCTTCCAGTCGCCGTTTTCCTAACATTGGTCTGTGTGAGCCACACGTCTGTATAGTGATCTCTGTAGTTATGAGTGTGGACGGGCCAGAACAGGAAAACAGCTAATGCACTGTCTGATGGGGAAAAACGTGGCACAGACACAAAGGATAATTCCAGTTGAAATGTATTGGTTTGAAATTCGTGCTGGGGAACACTAAACACGTCGGACAAATCGTGTTCCAGGACACAAAACAATAATAATAATAATAATAATATTATTATTAATAATAATAATATTAATAATAATAATAAAAATAATAATAATAATAATAAAAATAATAATAATAATAAAGACATTAAGTTTCGGGACTATTTCACAAATTGCCGTGAGAATGTGTTGGTTTTTCAATCAACTAACGTTACTCGTCTCGCTCACTGTTGTCTGCCTCTCAGGTGAAAAGCTCACTACTGCCCCTAGAGGCCAGTGTTTTCTTTTTGCAGCGCGTTTCTGTTTATGCAGCGTATTCATTTATATGCAGCTCGTTTGTGCGTCATTTGCCCCCGTCGGTCACCGTAGAACCCTACACGCAGCACCAGATAGAACACAGGAGAACATTTAGCCAAACACCAGAAACTGAGCAAATCCTGGACTTTCATTCCTCACCTTACCAGCAAATAAATGCCAGCGTTGCTCTCTGTCAGCTCCATGTATAAATAAGCAGCTAAAAATGTCAGACTTCTGTTTATAGGTTGCTTGTGCTGCCCCCAAGTAACCAAAAACGCGGCTGTTCACACAGCTTTAAAATAGACATTCTGTTATTCACAAGTCAATAAAACGGTGGAGTGCCAACCGGCCGATGACTAACCGATAACGCTTTTAGCAAAAGAGGCCCTCTTCAGCGTTGCCAGGCCGAGATCTCCGATTTTGACAGAGCCCGTGGGACCAGTGATGAAGATGTTGTCACACTTGAGGTCTCGGTGGATGATGGGTGGAGTCCTCGTGTGGAGGAAGTGGAGGCCTTTGAGAATCTGTCTGCACCAGCTTCTGAGAACTTTAGGCTTCATGACCTTAAAGCGCTTCAGATACCTAGATTAAAAAAACAAAAAGGAAAACAAAGTCATAACAGAGATTTTAAAAACACATTAACTGACAAGTGAGAAATTCAGTCCTGGAGTCCGTCCCCAAATAACCGCTGTATTGATGAAATGTTTTTAATTAGCCGCGTCTCTTTTGCTAATTGCTACGTTAAGCTTTAGCGGCCCGAACGCATAGCAAGTATGAATCTCTAATGACCAATCAATTCTTAAGCTAATCCCTCAGCTCCGAGTGCATGCAAAGTTTTTCCTATTGTGCTGCCTACGCTCCAAGTCGGATAAATTTATTTTCTTAATTACATTTCGAGCAAGAAAGTCCACTTTTTTTTTTACTGAAATGACGTCCTTCAACAGACACGTATGTAATTTACAGTACAAAGATAGGGAGCAAAACATCACTCATCAACTTCAAATGAACGCTCACGTTTTTAGTGTCCCTGAGGTCATCAGCTCCGTCACCAGAACAATGCACTTCTTCCCTTTCACCGGTGATTCCCAGAAGTCGTAAAATCGCACGATGTTGGGATGCTGGAGAGCTTTTAACATCTCTGCCTCCTCTTTGAACCTCTGCCTCTCTGCTTTGGACAGTTTCCGTTCCTGAGGAAAATGGAGAGAGAGAGACAATTCATTTTAGAAGTTCTCCCACTCATCTTTTCGTTTTTTTTCTTTTCTCCAATATTCTGGAGCCGTATCAACTGAGAAGCTGCAGTAGTGATCAATATATTCAGATTTAACCAGTTTGAGGGGTGGTGGAGGAGGAAGGAGAGGCTCAATCATCATTTTTCTTAGTGCTTTTTAAACTACTTTTCAGTTGCATTCCTTCTCAACTTCCTTTAAATAATCTGATTGCTGCGGGGATGACGCTCTGTCAGGACTGCCTGTGGCTAATGTTTGGACTGAACACAGCTTTGGCATTTTGAGTGGGTAAACATGGGGGTCTGCCCCATTTATCCTTTTGTATCACCACTGTGTATAAAACACACTCTGCTTAAACACCTTAGAACTACGAGGAGTGGAACCATTACGGCGGACAGATTGAGTGAAAGCCTTATTTAATCTGGTTTTGTGATGCAGAGACAGACACATCTGTCATGACAGATAAACACAAGCTTTAATCACATTTTTAATCTGTAAATGTCAAATGTGCTGCTGGTAAATAATGGAGGAAAAAAAAAACAACTCAGACCATTAAGAGTTTAAAACAGCCGGCTGGGAATATTTTCTTTTTTCAATCACAAAGCCCTAAAGCATGAAGAAACCCTCACTGCGTTTAAATCCTACATCTTTGGGTATACAAACCTGAGTGAATGCGTGTATACTGGATCAATATTTTGGCCCCTGCCTTCCCTGAACTGTTGTATAAATAGTAAAACAGCTGACAGCAAACATTCTCTACATTTCTGTTTCTCTCCCGTCAGCACAGCAGATACGAGCCAGTGGATAAGGCCACCACAAACGCTACATGACCTCCAGTTTTCTCCTCTGCTGTCTTCATCGGCACGCTTCGCTGGGAACAATTAGGGTGCATTTAGTGTTTGAAATGTCTGGGATGCTCGATGACCTACTGTACATCACATGGCATTGATTATTGACTGATGCAGGGGAATCAGATTTCCTTCACGGCCCATAGTGACCTATACACTGCGCAGTCTGATGCATCTTACATTACGTGCAGCACTGTGAAGGATACACCGCTCTGTAGCTCCCTCCTGATTCTTATGAAGGACAAACATATTCTCTATCTCCATACTGTCCATTTTCTGGGAAGTTAACACACAGATGATTAGGGATGCTGTACAGATAAAGATCAAAGCAGGGTGTGGCAACGCACAATCAGCTTCACTGACTCATAATATTGCACATAAAAAACTGAGTGAGAAACTCCATCAGAAGCACTGGTGTTCGTATCTAATGCAGTGCGCTGAGGAGCCGGTGCTTCCTGCGTTACTGTGGATCAGATACTACACATCTTACACGCTGTCCTTAAGTGAACCCACCCTTTCCCTGTCTTGGTGCAGAGGGCTGCATCAGCAGGATTCTCTCTCCAGACACATCTGTGTGGTAACGCCACAGGGATACAAGTCTGTGTTTAGTATTCATTACTAAGCCATCAGACAAGGCGAATAATAACGTACAACAGTGAGACACGGGATCGCAAAGTGGGAAAGTGTTTTGGCATTTTACTAAATCGAGTTGCACGATGTGCTAATTTCGGGTAAACAACTTGCTCAGCAGATGTCTGATCATCATTCAGCAGATGAATAAGTAACAAGCAGTCTGATTTGCTCAACATCAGGCTCCAGCTCCTCTTCAAACCCGATTCATAAATCTTCCTGTGAGTATCTAGGATTTCTGCTGTCTCACTCATAGTCTTACCCCCAAACACACACACACACACACACACACATAGACGCTGTATACACACAGTACAGGCGCAGCGTTTGAGTTCGAGCAGCCTTTTGTGAGCCAGCCACACCGGCTCTGGAGCTCTGAAGGGCACGGCCTCATCTCCAGGGACAGAATGGTTGAATCATCGCTAGATCTCCACTAAGAACCTGCTCGTACGCCACACAGATGCAAACAGCCACACATACGATACCTGCACACCTGCGGTAGAGATCACAGTGCATGATAAGATGCCTTCCCTGATATACATTCAAAAAAAATATACTCTTCCTCTTTAAAATTCTGTTAATAATGTAGACGTGTTTAAAAATATCCCCAGTGGTTGGATTCTCTCCTGACAGATGACATAAGATAGTGAAAAAAAAACTGTAGGCATACTTTAAGCCCTTTTAAATTCCTAATGAAGAGAATAAAACTGAATTTTAATGTATCATTTCAATACTGTTATAAAAGCAGCAAAATGAGGCTTAAGCACCTGCAGTGGGTGAGGGGCTCCATCCTCATCAGCTTTGACTTCTAGAAGGACTGACTTTGGTTTCACCTCATAAAGAGACTCATTACACACATATGAGGCCGACATTTACCAAACAGTGAACTTCAGTTTCACTCCTGGCCTCGCTGGAAACCAGACCTTTGTTTTTTTGCCAACAGAAGCAGTGAGATAAGCACCATGTAATCGTGTTTTAATTCTGCGCCTCAGCCTGATTGAGTTGGGCTGTAATTTTTTTTATCAGCGACTCCCAGGGGCCTGACACGGTGAACCTGGATTCTGCAAGAGTAGGAAGACAAAAAAAGCAGCAGCGAAATAATGCTGCACGCCTCACAAATGTTCCTCTCATTAGGATCATGTGAAAAGTTCCTAAAACGCTGCTCAGATGCTGAGTCAGCCTCAGCTGGCTCGGGGTTTTTATCGCCTGTGAAGTGACTAAACCGCAGTGAAAGTCGGTTCATTGTGTGAAACAACACAACAAGAGGCAGCAAGTTAAAGTTTGGTTGAATTATTGGTTGAAAGAAGCTGCAAAAAAAAAGTATTATGGTTTCATTTTTCAGATGTTATCAGTCTGGTCCAGACATTTGCTCCGGACAGACTTGAAAAGCTCAGCGCATTCTGAAAGGGCAGCCACAGTCTACAGGTCTGTCTACCGGCTAATCTGTATATGACATGGATCTAAACCGGTCATTAGATTACCACATACACAGATTAGTGATGCAGCAATCTGTCGCTGCGATGAAGCACTGAGTTGACCGCATGTTATCTGCTGCTAAGACACGTTTCTTTCAAATTCAGACTAATTAAAGTGTCACTCAGTTCATCTGCTGACAGCGCTGAGTACCGTTTAGGTGTCAGAGCAGGTGAGCTTCAAATCAATACACCTATGAGTCAATAGAGTACAGAGGACACGGCGACGACAGACTTTGCAAACTACTAGTGCTACTTCTGAACCATGTCCACATGTTAAACTGTGCTTGAAATAAAAAAGATTTAGGCTAAAAGAACTGACAGTAGAAAGAAGAAGAAGATGCTGCATGACTGACAGAAAGTTTAGGCTTCTTCATCTACTTTTAAAAATAAAGTAAAAATCCAGTCATCATGTAACACAAATGCCTGTTAATGCTGACTGGTTGATCAGTTTTACCTTGAAGCTTCTCATATATGGTCTGAGAACAGCCCAGACTGAACCCATGAGAGGAATAATTAAAAAAAAAACAATATCAGACAGAATCCACATAGTTCAGCCTGATGCTTTGTTTGTGTGACACAAGCGTTTACAGTCTGTCATGTGTCCATGTGTTTACTGGACTACTTCACCTGACTGAAGCACAGTTTAATGAAGCAGTCCTGTTCTTGTGGGGACTCATACCACCCCCACAGAGACCCCTGGTTGTCCCCTGGACCACATGTTGTGCCTCAGAGGGTGCACACTGACAGAATATGTCTTTTAATCAAACCAAGTCTAACACTACGGAGCCCCAACAGCAGGCCTGTACCAGCCGCCTGCCTGCTGCTGGACTCTGAGTGAACCCACCTGGAGCTCACACCAGGCCACCTCCACCCAGGTGTCGGTGTCCAGACCTTTGTAGACGGTCTTGAAGGAGCCTCTTCCCAGCTCAATGTCAAACTTGAGGAAGCGGCCCCCCGGTGAGGTGGACACAGCCTTCATGCCGGGCTCCTCTTCGTTCTCGTCACTTCCTGCTTTACCTGTGACATCCGAGTGCACCACCTCCGGCTTGGGCTCGGCTTCGCTCCGGTCTCCCCTCTCCTCGTCCGCGCTCACGCTCTCCGTGGCGCTGTCTTTCAGGCCCACCTGGCTCTCGGTGCTGGAGGTCTCCTGGACGCGGGCTCCGTGCAGAGCTCGGGTCCGACTCCGATCGACGATGGTCCGCAGGTCGATGTTGAGCACCGGGCTGCTGTTGACAAACTCCGGCGCGTCCACCGGCTGCTCCTCGGAGTCTGACACCCACAGACTCCGCCGGATGAACCTCTGGCGCACCAGCCCCTGGTAGTCAGTGGAGGGGTAGGCGCTGGGGTCACTGGCTCCCCGCAGGGCAGCGTTTTGTATGTTGACATTGTGGTCCGTCCCATTCTCATACACGGGCCTGCAGGCGTTTGCGTTAATGTCAGAGTCTAAATTGGGTGCTGAGGAAAATGTGGATCCCAGTGGCGGATCTTTGCTCGAATCGTCCGCCGCATCCATCCCTGGTGAAACTGTTAGACGCTCTCCGGCGACATTGTGCGGGGAGGATGACGCTCCTGTGCCGGCGGTGGGAGAGTTTGCTGCCTACCTGCAACACTCACACGCAGTGACGCAGTTCGCCAGCTCAGGATGTATGGCCCTGCGCCTCGGATTTGTTTAGGACGCGGAACATCCCCTCAAAATGTCCAGCACGGAGGATGCGTGCATCGCTTCCTGCCACCCCTCACGCCCCGGTCCACCTTGCTGCAATACAGCACCGAGCTATCCGAGTTAAGCCTGATGTCATTGCCAGTGCAACCTATGAGCTCACCAAATCAGTCTCCTCCACATTGCATAAGATCCCCGCTCCAGCGCACAGTATACAAATGTGATGCAGACAAAACCACTTGGCCACTGTGGACAGGCCGGGATGTTTCAGAGCGAGCCACGCACCAGCCGCTCCAAACGCGCATCACGGGACGAGCGAGTGCGCAGCAGCCAGCAGCACACTGTAAACACTCCCGGACCCGGCTCATTCAAACGCACGGCAAGTGTTCCGGGTGACAATCCGCTCCGAGAAGTGTGACCTCAGCATAATTTCATGGAACTATCCGCATGTGCTGCCTCTCCTCTCGTCCTGGAGCAGAGCGCGCGGTGGATGGAGGCGCTTATCAGATTATGCTCACTGCGGCACAGGTCGCTCTCAGCGCATCTCCCCGTCCAGCTGATACGGCTGCTGTCGTCTGAAATTCCATCTCGAACAGGTTTTGAGAAAATCTGGGATATTGCACGGCACAGCCCACGCCCCTAGCAACAACACGTATCCAATAACTCGGCACGCTTTAAGGCGGCAACCTCACCGTGCCGTGACACAGGCTGTGTGGGCCACGCCGCTGTCCGCCCTCACCGTGACGCGCTCAGCCTCCAATGGGGAGAAAACGAGGCCCACCAATCAAAAGAGACGCTGCGGAGGATCAGAGGAGACGCACCGGAGCCCGTTTTCACGGTCCAGTCATCCACATGGAGGCTGAGCAGGAACACTGATGGACAGAGATTATTTCTCTGGTCGCTTCTGCCCCAAACACTGACCTCAGAGGGGCTTCATCCATCACGGTGCTTTAGAGATATTACACTGTAAAAACACAGTATTTTAACTGCAGCCAAAGTTCTATTTTTCTGGAATAATTCACTGTTATTTTACTCATTTTAAAAATACTGCTACCTTTTTTTTTTTTTATTCCACCATTTTTATTTTATTTATTTATTTTCATTTTTTATTATGTATTTATTTATTTTACAGTGCATCTAATCAGGCCTTAAGGGAAGTCTTTGTATAAATCAAATACTGTTAGAAAAACACTCAACAATAAGAGGAAGTTAATAAAGTTTACAACGCCTCTTCTGATGTTACTTCCTTGTGGTTTTGCTTTGGTCTTTGTTTTTCTTTTTGTTTATTTGTTCTTTTGTTTATTTGTTTGTTTGTTTTTTGACACTGTAAAGAAGGAGCAGAACTAGAAAAGCTTTTGCTTCATCCTGTTCCTTCTCAAACTAGATATAAGTTGACATATGACATTATTGTGTTTATATCAGCTTCTTTTCTGCTTTTTTTCTGTTTTATTGAGTATTGCACTTTAATTCTCAATAATGCTTACATTATATGTATGCATTGCTTATTCTGTATTTTTATGTATATATATTTGAGATGAATACACTCAGCTAAAATAAAATAAACCTGACTAGATAAAAATAATAATAACAATAACAAAATAACTGCCTGCATTTAAAAAAAAGGAGAAAAGTCTGTAAAATGAAAGACATCTGTAGGATTTTAAACCAATATTTATTTTAAGTATTAAGCTAATCCCCAAATGATATGCTTTTGCCAAATTAATAATTTTTTAAAACATTTTTTCCTTTTTTTACGGAAAATGTTTTTACATGGTATTTTTATGCTGTCTTAAATTACAAACAAATGTAGGTGAAAAGTCAATAATTATCTCTAATTAACCCTGTAGCTCTTATATAAACGTTTATGTCCATATTATCAATCTAATGTTTTTCCTGATTAGTCTAATTTCAAGGCTGTAATTCTGCACGCAAATTAAGACATCCAACACATTTCAAGAAAACTGTGTTGTCAGGAACCAGCTCAGATTTTGTGGGCATCTGAGTAGGATGTTTCCTGGGCATCTTCCTTTGTCCAACTGGGAGGAGACTTCAGTGTAGACCTAGAACTGGCTGGAGGGATTTGATATCTCATCTGACCTGTGACCGTCTGTCTCTCTATGTGGCCCTGCGATAGACCGGCGACAGGTGAACCCAACCTTTGCCCCAGCTCAGACAGACTCCAGCCCCCCTGCAGCCCTACAGAGGGTAAAATGGTGTATGGATGGGTATGGCCTGTGACCACCTTGGGATCCTCCAACAGGGGCTGGAACTGTTACTGAGGGATGCCTGGGATGCCTGCTGCCACGGGGATCTGACCCTGGATAAGAAGAAGAAAATGCAAAGACCTTTTTTAATGAAGATCCACTGCTTTCAAGGTTGAGTCTTTCAGGCCTGTTGCCTTCTCTGTACCCGCACTGGACTAGCAGAGGCAGTGCAAAGTGTTTGGGATGCATGGGTTTAACCCTGTTCAGGACTTCCATGTTTCCATACGTAGAAGGTCTTTCTGGGTCCACTGGACCCCAAGAAAGAATATGTGAAAGATATTTGTTGGTATTCATTATAGACTTTTATACTATGTTAAATACATTTTCTGATAAGTTGATGTATTTTTGGTTCCAAAAGCATGACAAATGTCCCTCTTTTTATAAACAAACAAAAAACAATGCCTGTCACCTAATCCAAATGGCCTGGGGTCCAAAAGACCCCCAAAGTCCTGAATAGGGTTAAAGGTCTCAACTGTCCTGAGAAGGCAGATAAAGGCCATGTCTGGGGACTCTTATGCTCTGATGCCTCCTTATATTTTAGATAATTTTGTATTCATTTATTTAAATAAAATTCTTATTTTGTAAACTCTGGTGTCAGCTAGGGGGCTGCAAGATGGCTCGGTGGTTAGCACTGTTGCCTCGCAGCTAGAAGGTCACCGGTTCGCGTCCCGGTGGGGGCACCGGAATCTTTCTGCGTGGAGTCTCCATGTTCTCCCCGTGCAGCGTGGGTTCTCTCCGGGTTCTCCGGCTTCCTCCCACAGTCCAGAAACATGTTGAGGTTAATTGGTGATTCTAAATTGTCCGTAGGTGTGAATGTGAGTGTGCTTGGTTGTCTGTCTCTAAGTGTGGCCCTGTGATAGACTGGTTACCTGTCCAGGTGAACCTGCCTTCACCCTGAGTCAGCTGGGATAGACTCCATCTTTAAAATAAGAATGTTTCTCCAGTTTCCACACAAAATAACTTTCATTTTACAGTTTGTTTGGCAGCTGTGGCTGTTAGAGCTTTTTTTTTTTTTTCACTAAAGATGTAAATAAACCCCAGAAACCCAACTAACAATACACAATACAGGTCCTTAAAGAGTTCAAACCCTCTGTCTGAAAGACACTTTGATGAACAGAAAATGTAGTTGATTATGTTAAAATTACATTTCCTAAGAACATTTTCTCTCAGCATAATTTATATAAATAACTTATATTAAATCTAGTCAACCAGAGTAGGTGTCTATAATCCACAACATGTTGCCTTAAACGTGGCTTTAGTGAGTTATTCTAACAAACTGCTTCGAAGCATTAAGACGTCAATGTGTTCTTTTTCTCTACAAGGATCTGGACAGTTTTCAATTTAATGAGGTCAGCTTTACAAGGCCAACGGGCCCTGCTCACCAGGGAAACGCTGGGAATAATGGGAACCAGTCGGTGGGTGGGGTCCAGCTTCGGAAGGTCTGTTTACAATAAGAAACTATGAATGTTTCAATGGTGCCATCCTGTTCACCGGCTGGTTAACACATGGTTGCTGTGTCGTGCTTTGTTAGCTTTGCTTAAAAAAAATAGAAAACAAGCTTGTGATAGTCTGAGTTCTACACGTAGAACCATTAGTACTACTGACACTATAAAATCATGTGGTGTGAAACAAAGCACTCATCATGAAAGTATATGGTGATGCTGCACATCACATTAAACAGCAGAACCTGGGCTACAAGAATATATATCAGCCATTTCTACATGCCTCAAACACCAACTAAGTGAATTATCAAATATGGACATGATATAGCTCCACCCAGTCAACCCACTCATCACATTTCTGGCTCCAGCGCTTTCATACTTTATGCTAAACGCACCAACAGGCCTCAGACCAAAGCAGACAGTCCACAGATTCCAGACATGTCCATCAAAGCTCTCTGAGATCAAAGCATCAGCGAGAAACAACCCAAAGAACAGCAAAAACCCCAAACCGCTTCATCACACTGTAGTTGTAAATGTCTCTTACCTTAGCTGTTTAGCCATGAAAAGTTCATTTTATCGGTAAATCCACACCGGAACCAGTTAGTACTATTTCCTGTGTTACACTGAAATCATTCCGGGTGTCATTTGGCGGCTTCGTTAGCCGAAAGGAGCTAAGGAGTGGTAAACAAGCGGCTCGTCTTCAAGATGGCGTCCTGCTGATTCTGATTGGCTTAAAGTGCTGTCAATCTTATTTTGGTGGCTATCGCTACAATCTATTGGCTTTAGCGATTCGAAGGCGGTGTCAATCACTGAAATCGACCAATCATTACGGAGATACAGTGTTGCGTCACCGCAGGAGCTTCACAGCAGTCTGATCAGCATCACGCACAGGATGCGGAACACAGACAGCGGTCTGGTTGGATGTTCAATAAACTAAAAGAACTGCTGTGTGTGGATGTATTGAACACCATCAGTGATATACAAGTGAAATATATAGTTTGTACATAAGAACATTCAGATGGTCACCAGCGTGCCAGAATGTGACCTGAACTGTCTGGACTAAAACCTCTCTAATGTTGTTCTGCTTCACTTTATCAGAGTCAACCTTTGCGGAGAGAATGTTCACATATTGTGTTATGATGTGGGAGAGGTTTAGAGCAGCAGCTGGATCATTACAAAGAAATAATTATCCTGAAAGTGCTTCTTTTTTATTATTTTTATTTTTTAAAGCAAATCTGAAAATGTTTCATGTGTGCTGTCTTCATTTACGCTTAAGCAGTAACATATATACAGATATTTACACATCTGAACAAATCTTACAAGTGTTCCTTTTATTATGAGACAAGAATTATTCAAATAGACCTTGTGGTTTCAGAGATAAACTGTTTTTATTATGGGTATGTAATTTTCGAGCAGAGGCCCGAAAAATAGCTCAGGGCTGAACAGGTTAATGTAACATGTTTTATTTTGTCATGTTATCGGTAAACAGGTGAAGATCATAAAAAAGAGATGGACATTAATGATACTCCTCCAAACCCCAAACTGCCATCTAAGAGGAGAACAATGTTCATTAAACATTAATTAGAACCACACATTTTCTTTCTCATCTGTTTAAATCAGGATCCACAATATTTGATTTTTTCTTCAGTATTTGTCAGTGCAGGGTATACATAAATCACAATGACTTTCCAGGATTAAAAAAAAACAAAAACAAAAAAACTCAACTTAGATGTAAAAACATGTCATATGTATAAAATTTTCAAACAGATATGTAAACTTCTGACTGAAGGGGCCACCACAGATTAAAGTCTGTCCCCACACGACCAGGAGGGAAGCCTGTTAGAGGGCTAAACATGCACTAATGGAAATTAAGTTAGAATAAATTAGAATAGAATAAAACTTTGTTGATCCCTTTGGTGCAAAACCTCGTGGAAATTACATCCAGAAATTACTATTTTTCTGGCAGAATGTTTTTGCAGAACGAAAGCAGCCATTGTTCCTATTCAACCGCATACAACCAAGTAGTTCAGACCAACCATAAACAATGATTACACTGATTTTGCAGCATTTAAAGATTTTGTAATATTGTCATTAAAATTATACAGACAGTGTAAGAATGCATGTGCTTTAATATGTAAAAAAAAGAATCTGTTTGTATTAGTTTAAGTGTGTACGATTTAGGTTTAGCTGTGGATTTATTAGACGCTCTTGTAAAGACTCCTAAAGACTTCAGGGATGAAACCTACTTTGAAGATATCTAAACCCAAGCAGTGCAAACAGCCGAACAAAACAATCCAGTCTCTGCAGCCAGAAGAAAGAAACTGAAGGCTGGAAGGACATAATGTGATGTCTAGGTTGGCGTCCTGAGCAGAACAAGGATATACTGTGGATGTAAGTTTCTTTTGCATTTAAATTGCAATTATCAATGAGCTTAATTAACAATTTAAAAAGCTTAACTTTATCAACTGTTCCAGAGTTACACAGAAAAGCGTGCTGGACTCTACATGAGTTCTCATGTACCTCTACAAATACAAATTATTTGGGCTACAGCCAATGAACAAGACACTGTGCCGCCCCAGTGTGAGTAATGGTCTCAGCTAAAGGACTCCCCTATAAAAACTGTCTGACTGCCACCGTCTGCATGTCAGTGTTGACTTTGGGTCAGTGCCAACCCTACCAGAGAGAGTGACCTGCTCTCAGTGGATCACACTGCAGGAATACATTAATGCATCATCCCAAACGGCAGTATGAACGAACCAATACTGAGTTTGTTAGTTCATTTGTTGTTCCTGTTATTCTGATATTCTTAAGACCTATCCCTCTAATGACTTTATAGGATGGAGGGTAAACCGAGGTAATTCCCCCTCTTGACAATTACATATAATCAATCTTCATTTAATTTCTTGTCTTGGATGTCAGTGACCTTATCAATATTTTTAAAGGTCTGGCAGATGACAAAATGTAGGGGGATTATCAATAACAATGGTATGGATTCATGAGTGACACTCAGGGCTGTCCGTAGCAAAAGATGGGATATTTTCTTTATCATATCAAATACAATAACACAATAGCTAACCAGTGGCAAAAAAAATGTATGATTTTTTGTCAAAAATGCTCACTAGCTAGCATTATGCTACATTAGCTTACTGTAGCACCAGCTAGCCAGCTAGCTTGAATTCTGTGCTACTGTTGGCTAAACATTAAACATAGATATTAATAAAGTAAAGTTACAACTTTTGTTGTATACCCCTTAATTGTAATTTACTTGGCAATAATGTATCCTTTAAAAAAAGAAACATTTAACATAATTTACAACCTTGTTCGGTTAAGGTCAGAGCAACACCATCATTATAGAACAGATCATTTCATTATGCTCTAAATGTGCTTACTTAAGCAAATTATGCACATGCATTGATATTTAAAAGAGAATTATAAGAGAGTGGACGGTTTGCCCTACAGTCGTCCTCAGATGTACTGATACCCTCCCGTTAAAGAAGGAAAAAAACACAAAGTAAGTTGGAATTGACAAAAGTAATAATAAATAATTTAATGAAAATCATGACATTGATTTTGAATTGTGGTTCAACAGAAATATGTATATTTTTTTTAAAAAAAGCATGATGACACCCATGAAGTAATATTTTGTTGAGCAACCCTTTGAGCCAATCACTGCAACCAAGTGTTCTCTGCAACTCTCAGTCAGACTTCTTTTTTTTTTTTTAAGTTACTTTTTTGGCCTTTGTTTGATAGGGAAGTGAAAGAGAGACAGGGAAGTAGGGGAGAAGAATGGGGGGAGGACATGTGGGAAAGGGCCATGAGCGGGATTCGAACTCATGACCTCCACATCGGGCCTGTAGCCCTGTACATGGGACGCCAGCTCGACCAGGTGAGCAGACTTCTGCACCTGTTGACAGGTGTTTGGATTTTACTGCTCATCAACAAAGTGCTCCAACTTGTCTGGGACAGTTTGTTTTTTTGTTTTTTTAAATTATTCTTTTCAACCACAATTCAAAAGCAATACCTTATTTCGCTAAATTATATTTTCGCAAATTTTGATTTATTATTACTTTTTTCAGGTTCTAGTTGTTTGAGTGACTGTTGTAAATTTTGTCTTTTCTTTAACTAGAGGGTATGAATAAATCTGAGCATCCAGCTTGTAATACCGCATCACGCCACTGGGTGTCAGTAGAGTCAAGCTAGCGGGTTAATGAGTAGGCATTTCTGTGACTAAATAAAACCGCTATTCAGCCGCTTCCTTTTAAACATTATGTAAGTGTTAAAGTGAAATTGCAGTGCAGTGATTTGATAAGCTGTGAGGCCGGGGTGAGCAGCCCGCCCTGCCCACTCTTCCCCTCTCGGTCCCGGCTCTGGGAGGACCGCCGCCCCCATGTTGGAGGGGCGGTAGTCTGGCGCGGCTCCCCGTCCTCCTCCTCAGCCTTATATGTACCGTGTGTGCTGCACTCCGGCGACTCTCTGGAAGCCAGCGGCGGAGCTACAGCCTCTTCTGGAGACACCGACCACAGCAACATGGCTTCGGACAACTTGGAAATGAACGGCGGGGCTGACCGGAACGGCGACGCGGAGGTAAGACGGCGGCGGAGGCGGCGGCGGTGGGGTGTGTTATCACAAAGGACGGCTCCGGGTCCAGCCCGCCGCGGCTAACGGCCAGCTCAGGGTCAAACAGAGCCGCGGTTCTCCCGGAAAATATCCCGGTTAGAGTGTCCGGTTACAGTGGAAATGTTGGGCTGGCCGGTCATCCATCCCTCTCATCCGCATCATGGGAGATGTTCGCCAACACGGCCGAACAAGTGTCGCTTATGAGAGGAACCGAACCGCAGCCGGGCTCAGTGGACCTCAGAGCTGGTTTATAAAGTTAGCTTCAGTTGAGGAGTTCGGCTGCTGTTTTCCACAAAGGCTCCGTTTACACCCAGCAGATCCGGACCATGTGCTCAGTGTGCAGTCATCTGTGTGGACCGGATCAGCTGGTGAACCGAATCAGGCAGAACAACACAGCTCTGTAGTAAAAGCCTCTTTAAATATCTAACACTGTGTGATCAGAGGTTCTGGAGGAAAACAGGCGTTTATAGCTCATGATAAGCTCAGTTCGGCTGTCATGCAGTTTATAGTGATCCTGACTCATTCCGGTGCTTCAGATCCAATTCTATAAACATGAACCTTAAAACTAAACAGGAGAAAATAAAGAATAATCAAACATAGAACTGACGAGTCAAAACGTCCTGAGAGTATTTTTTTTGATGCTACAGAGAAATAGGACATTCTCAGTTTCAAAATTAGTCATTTCAGTCTCATATACAGTCAAATGTGTTCATACCTCCCATTAGAGAAGGAAAAACAAACAGCAGCAGCAGCATTGTGGTTCAACAGAAATATTAACAAAAACAATTTACAAATATATACACATATTTTTACAATTGTCTTGGACAGTTTTTTTTTGTTTGTTTGTTTTTTTGAAATTATTATTTTCAACCACAATCCAAAAGCAATGTCTTATTTCACTAAGTTATAATTTAGCAAATTTTTATTTATTATCACTTTTTTCAGTTTCTAGTATTTTGAGTGACTGTTGTGAATTTTTGCCTTTTCTCTAATGGAAGGGGATGAATACATCTGAGGACGACTGTGTAATACATATATATATATATATATAATTATTATTATTATTATTTTCTAAATGTACAACCATCTTTGACCCGCTGACTCCCTGCCAATGCTCATGTAATATTATGTGATATTTATGATGAAGTTTATTGTTTATTTTTTTAATGTCTCTTTATTAAATATGCAGTGAGCTTTTGAATCGCCCCTTGGGGATAAATAATGTTATTTGAATTGAATTATAATGCCTTCAAATACAACAACACAACTAAAACACTTAAGTAAACTATTAAAAATTATTTTATTACTTTATTTAAAACAAAAAAACAAAACAAAAAAACTGTTTTAACCAAACCTGCAAACAAGAAAACGTATTCACTCACATACAAATATTTTTCTTTTTAATAGTTATTCAAATCAATAAATACAAGCTAAGACAAGAAGTAAAAAACCCTACAAATAGCTGGCTAGAGCTTTTATTTGTGTGGTAATACTTTGTGTCTGATTAAATCTTTAAGAGAAATTATATTTGATTTAATTTAGAATTGTGATCTCTTTTATAACACAGCATATATTCTGCGAACCTGAAAAACAGCAGCCTCGTCTTAGCGATATACTATGCTATATAACTGGCAACACATTGTTTTCTGTTTTTAAAAAGGGCAAAAGGGGTATGAAAGGATTTCTAGTACATTTAATATGTAATTACATCCTATTACAAAATGAATTGTAATCAAGAACAATATGTCATTCCGATTAGCACTGTGATTCTGGGGTGTTATTATGCTTTTATGACATCACACCATGTGAACGTCTAGCCTTCATCAGTTTCCTTTTCAGCGACACACAATCACTGGTTTGGATTTATCTGATGTATTCCTTGAAGAGACGTCCTCATCTGTCCCGTGTCGTGTATCAACGACACTCCGTGTTATTTTTAGCAAAACTTTCGATGGGAAGCGGTCGGCAACACAACGTCATAACTGGTGTCAGTGGGAAGTACCTGCTGGTGAACTTCTCCAGCAGTGAGAAGCCACATCCCACAGAAACGCTGTGGACGAGTCAAACATGCCGCAGCCAGACCTGCTCAGTGGTGTTAGGGTTAGTTCACTATTAATAGGCGTATATGTGATTTATTAGGCTCTGATGTGCTCTGATGTGCTGCTAGAAGGAGTTTTGTTTAGATTGTGTTGGATTAAAAATGACGATGATGTCTTGAGCTCTTCTTTTTTAACAGATAAACACTATAAAATAATAAGATTAAATGCAGTTGTAGTAGTAATGAGTTTGTTATTAGAACCAGATCCCAATTTTAGGGAATAAAAATTAGTATTCTTTATCTACTGAACAAAACTGTGACTGCAGCGCGTTGTGTTTTGTTCAGTTCCATCCATTCTGTTTAAACACATGTGAATAAGTCGTCGTTGTTCCATCTCTACAGCAGAGTGGACACGCAACGCTGTAGATGATGACGGGCAGATGAACAGTGGAGTCACAGACCAGAAACCACAAGTCAGCATAGAGTTAATCAAGTTGTCGATGCTGACTGGTGGACTGTTGCCCAACTTGGAGGACTTGTTGGACCTTTTGGGGCACAAGATCCCGTAATCCATCCATCCAGGGAGTCTTGTGTGTTTCACCAGTCTGTGTGAAGCTGTTTCCTAGAAGATGAATGGTGGAGTTGTGGATGTTTAGCTTTAACCGACATGCCAGCATTCACCACTCTCCTCTTTGTCTTGTGTCATTTTAATAACGATGGCATTTTAAGACGGTCAAAGGGGTTTCTGTGCGCCGATCTGTGGCGTTCCTCTGTGGACGAACGCAATCGCTGAGCGTTTGTCACCAGTTCAGCAGCTCAGTGGTTTTTCCTTTAGTTCAGAAAAGAGGCATGCCGTGTTTATACGTCTGCTCGGTGTATATACACACACACAGGGGTTTTCCTCTAGTGGAATTTTTGGCCTCCCACTAGAGAGGTAGCTGTCATCAGTGAAGAAAAGTCCCCAGACTAAAAATAGCGCTGGCTTTTTTTTTTAAGGTGAAGTTTCATTTACTCTGGAAAAAGAAAAAGTTAAGTTTTCATATCAGAAAAAGACCAAAAACCTGTCTGACTGACGTACCTGTCAGGCGTCTTATTAGGAAAATCCATCCATCCATTATCTACACACCGCTTAATCCTCACTGGGGGGCTGGAGTCAGCTGACTCAGGGTGAAGGCAGGTTCACCTGGACAGGTAACCAGTCTATCACAGGGCTACACTTAGAGACAGACAACCAAGCACACTCACATTCACACCTACGGACAATTTAGAATCACCAATTAACCTCAGCATGTTTTTGGACTGTGTGGGAGGAAGCCGGAGAACCCGGAGAGAACCCACGCTGCACGGGGAGAACATGGAGACTCCACGCAGAAAGATTCCCACCGGGATGCGAACCGGCGACCTTCTTGCTGCGAGGCTAACCAACTGCTCCACCTTGCAGCCCTTTTAGGAAAATGATTATTTGAAATTGGGAACAGCTGAAGTAGAATTGGGATTTATGTCACTCATGTCATTGCAGCTGGAGGTAGCAGACGGGGAAGTCATGACAGCGAGTGCAGTTTTCACGCTTGTCCGTCGACCACACGAGCACCAGTTCCCTCTGCGGGCTTTGCCAGTTGCAAAAAGAGGAACTCAGAGTCGTACCTCAGCGCTGGATGGTGCCAGTGTGGGCACAAAGTGGACCTTGTTGGACGGCCAAACTAACCCCAGATGAAACCCTGAGCGCTGTGCCGAGGAGGTGAAGAGAAACCAGGACTCCAGCTGCTTTTCTCTGATGTCATGTTTGTCTTTCAATCGGCCGTTCAGCTCGCTTCACCTGAAAGCAAAACCGAGAACAGCTCCTTCTGCTTTTCTGCTAAAGGAAGGGTGGCGTGACATGGTCCGTCTGAGTCTGAATGTACCTGTTTCATTATTTAGGAAATACCATATAATTATATCAGTGAGGTAGATTATTGTTACAGGAGCACGTCGTCTAGCTGTGCCACCAGTCTACACATTCACCTGTTTTCTGACTGCGTTCGGGTTGCCGTGATTGTGACATGACTGCGACCTGCTCAGTGTAAAAGAAAGGATGTGGTGTGACTTTTTTTTTCCAGCCTCTGACCTGGAACTGTCTCTACGTAAAAGTTGTTTCTGTTCAGTAAGAAAAATACTTTCACTTCCATATTTTTCAAAGTAAAATATTGGAATTGCACAAGTGTGGGCTTTTGGTTTACCACCGAGCTCGTTTATTGTCTTGAAAAGAGTTTGAGTCAGAAAAAGTGATTCATATCAGAAAAGACTGAACAGTTTTTACACACTTTTGGTTAAATGTGGAGACTTCTGGTGATCACTACAACAAGTAGTTTTCATTTTAAACAAGCTGGAGGCTGAATAAAAAAGAAAAGCCTGTTTGTTTGGAGGCATTTTTGTTTTGATATAGCAAAACCTTTCTCAATACCTCGTCTACGCTTTAGCAGTGTCACTTTAAAGCAGCACATTGAAAGTTAAATCTTCCATTTGAACAGAGTTGTACATGAATTGACATCTGATGACTATCATTGTTAAGGACAACAGACTGGTGACATCTCAAATCCCTGCAGCGGAACATCGATTATCGAGGCCTTCACGAGGCTCTCTGTGTGTCGTACTGATGTCAGGCTTTGTCTTTGTGTTCAGGTCCCGCTGCGAGAAAACAGCAGGAGGGAACCCAGACCCCTGAACATGAACAACTACGCCAACAAGAAGAGCGTGGCGGAGAGCATGCTGGACGTGGCTCTGCTGATGGCCAACGCCTCCCAGCTGAAGGCGGTGTTAGCGCAGGGATCGCAGTTCTCCTTCTACGTGCCCCTCGTCACGCTCATCAGCATCTCGCTCATCCTGCAAATCCTGGTGGGAGTGCTGCTCATCTTTATCTGTAAGTTTGGAGGTCGTGGCCTTATTTCCGTCTGTTGTTGGAATGTTTCTGGTGAGGTGTTACGATCCAGCCTCTGGGGTCAGCTGGATGGAAATGGTTCAGGCAGCACGATTCACTGCTCAGTAAATGAACATAACAGAAGAGTGACAGAACAAAAGGAAGAGGGCGGAAAAATCAAAAGAACCAAACGAAGGCTAACAGAGTGACGGATGCTAGCTAACAAAACTAAACTCCTTAGCCACAATTAAATCTAACAGCAACATCCACACATAACAAAAGAAACTAAAACAAACTAGTGCCTCAAAACACACAGTACGAAAACACAAGACGCCAGTAAGTTCTTCACAAAGCTGTGCAGCTGCGAGCGGGAGTCAGTCTCCACTAAGACTCTCACAAAACCTCCCACACCGAGTCAGCAGCTGCAGACAGAAGCTACATTAACACATAAACACAAAAGACACAAACCGAGAGGCACCAGAGCAGACTGGTCACACCAAACCCCAGCCAGGCCCGACTGAAAGGTTGGTTTAATAGCCAGCTGTGGTGATTGCTGAGGTGGAGGAGGAGTGGTGGTGGTCCAATCAGACGTGACCGGTGGCGGGGAGATCAAGGCTGAGAGTAGGTCAGAGCTCCAGAGCAATCATCACTGATGTCTGGCAGGTACCGGCTTCAGCAGTGATCACAAGTCCAGATAACACAACGGCACAAACACCACAGACTTTATGGAGAATGAAATCATCTGTATTTACCCAGCGTGTAGTGGGTTCAGTATGCAACACTCGACCCCATTTAAAATACTAAAAACTAGATATAGTAGGTGTTATTTCACAAAACATAATGTGTTAAAACACCACACTGAACAAAGCGTTGTCGATCTAAAGTAGTGTGTAGGTTTAGTTCAGCCTCAGTTTATGCTCAAAATGTGTTTTTATGTGTTGTTGGGATTTTTTCTTCTACAGGAGTTTTCTGCAAATGTACAAACTTGTCTCGCGGTGTTTGTTCACCGGTTTCCAGAGGCTGATTTGTAGGCTGTAGGCTTTTACTATAAATTATAAGAACTCTGGCTTGAAGTACAAAGTCTGCCTTCTTGTACTCTGGTGTGCCATACTCTTATCTTATCCTAACAGAGAGTGCAGGAAGAAATGGGTGTCTGCTGTCAGCTGTTTCCAATTTGAAAGTGCTCTCTTCCCCATTGGGAAAAAGCCGTCCGTGACAGGAAATTTGACATTAATAAGATCGCACGACTTATTCTCTGTTAAAACAAAAAAACAAAAACGGACCAGCACATGTTTCCCAGAGCGGCGAGGCATGAAATGTGCTGGTGGAAGAAGGAGCTAATTATTCACCTGAGGGCAGCGGCTGTCAGATGCTGTTAATTTATATCTCATCCTTCAGTAATGATTGCTTCACAGCTGACAGGAAACTCTGTGCTGCCCCCTGCTGGGGAAGAGGAGGCGAGTCCTACTGACGAAGCAAAATTCAGTGACGCCTTCGTGTTGTTTCGTTTCTCTTTTGCCAGTCAAGTGGAATCTGAACGATCAGAGGATGCACTACAAGCTGAACGTCATGGAGAATTTCGCCACGGCCTTCGTCTTCATCATCGTCGTGGTCAACGTTTTCATCACAGCCTTCGGCGTCCAGATGCCTGTTCCAAGTTCTTGATCATCCCTTTACTTGATGCCTTGTGATCAACTCAGTAAAGACGGATGTCCACGTTGTCCTCCACAGACAGAAGGCATGCAGGTGCATTTGGTTCTCTATAATTCAACCTCCCAAGCTAGAAGAAAACCAAGGACAAAGATTTACTGTCTGCTGTGTGAGTGTGTGTGTGTGTGTGTGTGCGTGTGTGTGTGTGTGTGTGTGTGTGTGTTAGAGGTGTTTCCTGACTCTCTAACCACCAACAACTCATCGTGGTCGTTTCTTCTGTCATATAGCACTTCACCAGTTTCTTACCTCCTGTCCTGCTCAGGTTACTGATGCCTTTACTCATTAAACTAACATCAGGAGCAATATACTGTAGGTCGCTCACAAACATTGTGGGGGGAAAACAAAAGACGTTCTTCTCTTATTTTGAAGCTTTAAACTATGTTACTGTGCCTGCATTTTGTTATAAAAGAAAAAAAAACCCATAATAATCCAAATGAACTTCCTGACGATGAGTGCATCAGGGATCAGCTTCCCCTCCTGCTGCACGAGGCCTTGTGTGCATCAGATGTAGTATTTATAGTGTTTTAGATCTCCATTGAATGATGAAGTGGACCATATAGTTGTTTCTTTAAGTGCTATGCAGGCTAATGTGTAATATTTAAACTGATTTACATTTTATATCAGGTAATGTCTGTAAGTCTTGTGGATTGAATTATGTGTTGAAGTTATTTTTAGGCTTTTTTTATGACCTTTTTTTTTAAGGACCAAAAACATATTCAGCTCCTACTATATATATATATATATATATAAATAATCTTGTACTCCACACTGTGACTCGTATTTTACATGAAGTTTGTTAATAAAACCGCAAAAGTGACAAGACGTGTTCTTTTTGTTATCGTGCATATTTTTATTTTTATTTTAACGTACAAAGACAAACGATGGCACGCCTGAATGAAAAGTGTTTTTACGTGACAGTACACACAAAAATAAGAGAAACTCAATAAGTAAATAATGAAACACATTTCCTTTTAGAGTAATAGTACTTTTTTTTTAATTCAATTACAAGGCAGCAAAGCCATTTAAGCTGCAAAACTTATTCTGAGATCCAGAGGATTTATCAGCACCACCAGGACACAGTTAGGATCAGAAGCCCTTTTTTATGTTATGTATCCAAATGAAATTGCAAACTACCTGAGAAATAACATCAAGTCTTATATATTTGCTTTTGGGTACAAAATGAATGTACTGCTAAACTTACTGTCAGCCTGTTATATGTAGACTTAATTAAAACCCATTAAAAAAAACATATGGGCTGTTTTTTAATATTTTCTACAATATGGAATCTCATTTTGTTCAAAATTCTAAATAAATAAGCACATAAACAAATGCTTCTGTCAAATAAATGAAAAAAAAAACATGGCTATGAATTATATAATATGAATAATATGAATTACATATATAATATATATAATATGAATAATATGAATTAAATCCTGAAATAAACAAGGCAGTAAATATAGAAATATTTTGAATTTTAACACAAATTTCTATTTTTTTTAAGGACTACTTTGATTTGTTTTAGTTTACTTCCTAATGCCTCATTTATTTATTCCAGGATTTATTTCAAAGTCATTTTATTTCATGTATTTATTGAAACAAAACGGCATTTCACTCTAACGTACGTCAACATACAGTCAGCAAAGAGGCACAGTAAGAACAAAAAAACATCCTTATCATAGGACACCGTGTTAAATGGTAATTGGCTGGATTTTAAAAACACATAAATGTACTTTTTTTTTTTTTTTACTATCACAAACTAAGCTGACCTACTTCTGCAGGAGAAAAAGAGTCTCCTTCCTGTACTCGGTGGTGGTGGGCAAAGCGCTGCCACAGGCCAACAGGAAACGTACATTTCCGTCCAAAGCGGAAACAAAGACACGAGAAAACAGTTTCGCTCTCTAAACTACACGGTAGGAACAGGAGATGCGGTTTCATATCTGTACAGAGGTGTTCAAACTAGTGATGGCCAGATGAAGCCTCATGAAGCCTTGAAGCTTTCTGTGCAATTGCTTCCAAAAAAGGTTCATTTCTGGAGGCTTCATGTGCACACAAACCCGTAACGCAGTAACGTGTTTGATCCGTCGTGTGTTGAGACACCAAACATTTCTCAAACAACACATCTAAGTCATGTTTGATTATGGGTTTAACTGATTTCGATCTGTTGATACATGATGATGGACACAATGACAATGTGACGTTAAATAAAACAGTGAAACATGACGTGAACATGTTCTCTGATCATTATGTGAGTTTAATGTAAATACTTATTTGAGCAGCTAAAGTCAGAGTAGAGACCAGTTTCTTAAAACAAGAGCTGTCAGGCAGAAATACAAACTTCACTGGGTGTTGCCTGAAACTTATCTGAACCACTGAATCATTTGAGCTGGAATCATAACACCAGGTGTTTCCATGACGGGGCATCTGTTTGCCAGTTTGCTCGTCCTGCTTTGTAGAGACTGAATCTACATGACAGTGGTAATATAACGTGTTTTCTGACTGTACTAAAATTAGTATTCAGATTAGCCACTAATTAAAAAACTGGTAACACTTATAAGAAAATATTGATTGTGTAATTGACATTAGCAAACATTTATGGCTGCTTACAGGAACTAAATCAGGGTAAAAAAAAAAAAAAAAAAGTATGACAAAATATATGAAACAACTATCTAACCACAATCTTTTCATCTGTTGTGAGAACTGAGGTCAGAGTGAGCCACAGCATTTCCTGAAATGTTCGATAAAATCCAAAATCTGAGAATATCTTACAGCTGATTGGTTGACTGAGAGGTTTAAGCATCTCCAACTAGTGTGTCTGGAGAGATGAACAATCAGTGTAGACATCTCCATGGACATCTCACAAGGCTAAAGGTAAAAGGTTTGACTTGTTTGTGTCTTGAAATGAGTAAAATTAGCAACTGATCTTAACCCATGAAAACAACATCAACAATCTTCAGACCCATCTATGAGCCACATGTTTGTGAAGGTGTGTGAATTATTAACAAATATTGTGTCTAAATGTCTCTGAGGAGAAACAACACATAAAACACTCAGATGATAGTAACCATCAGCATCTGTGCACAGTTCTGCCAAACACCTAGAACAGTCCTCTGCACAACAGAACACTGCTCATCTCTGTATGTCATCTGCTTTCAGACAAACAAAAATACATGAAAACCTCTGTTCCAAAAAAATCCCATTCCCAACACCGTTACCAAGACCTCTGTTATCGGACCTGCCCCCCAACCAGTGCTGCCCCGTTCCCCCTTTTGCTTGGGGACCCGGCTGGCGGGGCTTTGGTTGGTTGGGGGACTTTTTTTTATTAAGGCATTTTGTGATTACTTGATTGCTTTAAGGCTTTTGTTTTTTTTTTTTTTTGTTTTTCGGCTTTTGCTTTTGAAACCGGTTTTTCCAGGGTTCCCGGTTTTTTGGGTTCTTGCAGGCTGTTGAGAAACTAATAAATGCTCATTTCAGTATCTATTATGAAAGTCTATATGAGACTTTATTGGAATAATAATGTGTTGTTTCAATATAGCGTTCTGTTTTCCTCACATTGAAGTGTTTTTTGACTTCAAATTAAAATGAAAATTCTATGTTTCAATTTCCGGTTTCATCTTCACATTCCTCCATGAGCTATCTGTGACCATATTGAAATGTAAATTTAAAAACATTTGATTTTCACCACCTTAACCTGCTGTGTACAATTCATAAATGCAGTAAGTCATTGGTCTGATGTATTTCCTGCGCTGTGTTCATGAATCACCACCACTTCCGAATCCAGCGAGGCTTCACACGTCATCAGTGACGTCACTCGCCTCCTAACGAAGCGAGCCTCGATACGCGCTTCGTGGATTTCTCGACACACGCTCCGAAGCCTCGGCGCAGTACGTCCCATCACGAGTTATAACTAATAAGGCACACTGTGGAGGCAGTTTCAACGGACGGGAAAAAAAAAAACTTGGTTAGAGATGCCACGAAGTAGGTGGCAATGCCTTAACCGTATGTGTGTTGCAGGCCACAAGGGCCACTTCCATCCTTGTCAAGGGGAGTGCTAACCTTCTCTCCTTTCATACAACACGCCCTGAAAGAGGAGGGACGTCACGTTATATACGCAGAATTAAACAACTTGTTCTCACTCATGGTGCTACTTCCTGTTTTACAACCGCTACACCCAAATAAGCTCAATTGTTTTAGTTTTACTTTAATCCGGGCAAAAACTTCACGGTTTTTCATTCGACGTTTCTACATTTTGGTTTGTTTACAGCTCTACCCACAATGCAGCGCGCCGGCAGGGCGGAACGCCATTGGTGGAGCAAATCACGTGATCGCAAAACTCATCGTAAATTCGTTTAAAATCGTATTCAGCCCAAATACTCGATGTTGTTACGAACAGAGAGGTATAAAAAAATAAAGCTATTTTTTGGGCTGCTGTTTAAAATGTGAGCAGAAGCTTCCTATTAGGACAACACGGTTTTGGTGACGTAGCTTGTTTTGGCCGCAAGATGGCGGCCATGGTTCAGCTCAGACTGACGGAAACCTGAATGCATTTATGTCGAAGCCTCACTGGAACAAAAACAAATGAAGTGGTGTATGCAACCAACAAACGGAAAAATAGTCTAATGTAGGTCACAACACCAAATGATTGATTAGAGGCTATTTTTTTTGGAGAACAGTGCAACAGCCAAGAACGAATCTCCCTGATATTTAGTTGTTTAGAAAGCCTCAATCAGTACAATTGACAGCAGTGCAATTTGTGTTTGTACAATACTACTTTAGTGGATGCTTGCAGCGACAATAAGTTATTCACTGTTCCTATACTTTATACTTGTTTTGTAGTAATCCCTTTAACCCATTTAAATAGACATGAGTGAAAATAGTAGCAAACTGCCAAATACAGCTCATGCAAATAATATTGAACCCTTGATATAGTGCTGTGCTTTGGTACAAGTACAATTCATAGGAGCAGTATTGCTGAAGCACCCGGTGTGAAGGAGCCACACATTACTTTCTGAGGTTTTCTTCGGTGTACCATATAAGAACCTCCTGCGCTTTTCTTTTCAGCCCAAGAGCCGCCATCCCCAGGGCCCGGCTGCCTCCTGACACTTTAGCTTCTACAGAAAAAAAGGGCACCTTATTAGTTAGTAATGGAATTAATAGTGGCAATATTGAGACTGCAATGTCAAGAGATGTTTGGAAAAAAAACACTGGAAAAGTATTTACCACTGTAGTAATAGAGCAAAGCCATTCCCACAGCGACTCCAAAACAGCCCAGAAAGAAGAAGGGACCTGGAGAAGGATTGCACATTAAAAAATAAATGTAATTATTTAACGTTGTGTTTGTCAGTGCTAAAGACCTACACAACGCTTTTGGCTTGGGTTAGGGTTAGTCACACCAGTAATTGCTTTTAAAAGTTTTAGCATGTCCTCGTTAAACCATCCACTGTTGTACTTGTTGCTTCGATTCTAGACATTAATTAGTATAATACATGTTACAACCCTGGATGACTTGTTTTATCTATTTCCATCACTATATCCTAACTGTATGTATTATCAATAGGGAAAATATTGCTTTGCACAAATGCGCTCACCTTTGTCGTTCAGATAATATCTGTGTTTGTAGGCACGAGAAAATGTGAGTGGATCCATGAAATCTGGAGGCAGGATGAAGTAAAATGTAAATTACACTGACACACACATACATTTATTTTGTACTATTCAGATAACTGCTAAATGTGAGAGCGCTGTGACATAGTGCAGCCGTTCTGGAGACAAACCTCTGAGGCGGAGCCGTGTGGGTAAGCTGTAGTATACCTCCTCCACATGCAAGTGAAGCGCTCTGTAAAACTCCCTGCATGCTTCCTCGCCTTTCTTCTGCAGGTGTGTCAGGAGTTCACCCAGTCGAACGCTTGTAGGGACGTCCAGGTTTCTGAACTGGGAAACAGTGAACAACAATCAGATGTTTACTTCAACTCAAAATAGGAGCATGTGTGCAAGATCTCAGTATCCCCTGAAGGCATCTGTGCTGACGTAAATAAATAAACGTATTCATATTACAGTCTTGCCCCTTCTTGTTTTTTATGTCACATAATTAGTCTGTCTAAGACATAATTTCCTTGATACAGCTTGTAACAGCCATGTACTAATCCATCCATCCATACATCATCTATACACCGCTTAATCCTCACCAATTAACCTCAATATGTTTTTGGACTGTGTGGGAGGAAGCCAGAGAACCCAGAGAGAACCCACGCTGCACGGGGAGAACATGGAGACTCCACGCAGAAGATCCAGGGTGGCCTTACCAGGACACAAACCGGCGAGGCTACGGTGCTAACCACCGAGCCACCTTGCAGCTTTATTAATGTGTACGTTTATTAATTTCTTTTCATTGCAATACATGTTTGTACTGCAGGTGGCACTGGCAGCTTCCAGTGGAAGTGTATTTTACTGCCAGGTTACTGACACCAGGTGTGCATGAGGAGAACTCACCTTGGTGGCCTCCTTGTCTGTGAGGATCTGTGGGTAGATTCTGTTGAGCTGCAGGATGACTTTGTCCACCCGTTCTGTGTCCAGTCTCTGCTCAACTCTGAGGAAGGCGCTGTCCTCCATCAGCTGCTCATGGAAACTGTCTGTAAACAGAGAGAGGATTGAAAAAGTAACTCATCTGCACCCATCTAACAATAGCTAGTTTATTTATTGGAAGTGGACGTCAGTTTGCAGTAGTCTTGTTACTAAAACAGAACAGATCCAGTGGCGCCTCCAAAGGGGGGACACCTGAAATCTCTGTTGTCTTTTCTGTTGCGCAGCAGGATATTACTGTGTGATATTATTGTGGATATGAATCAAGAACTTGACCTCTTTAATCAATGAAGTGGCCTAAAAACAATATAAACACATTTTATGGCACCATAAATTGTCGTAGTGTGATAAGTTATCATCACACATGAACAGAAGTATCAGCATTGAAATCATAAATGAATGATGAATATCTGTCCTATGTGGGTGAACTTTTTCTCCTCAGTATTTAAACAGTGGTCTCCCTAATAACGAGAATACTAAATACAGTCAATTTCATACCCTCCCATTAAAAAGGAAAAGAACAGCTGTCACTGAAATAAGATGAAATTGACAAAAGTAATAACAAATACAAATTTAATGAAAATCATGACACTGTTTTGGAATTGTGGTTCAACAGAAATATTGAGGGAAAAAAAGCATGATGGGAGCAAAGTGCTCTAATTTCTTTTTTTTTTTAATTATTCGTTTCAACCACAATTCAAAAGCAATGCCATATTTCACTAAACTACAATTTAGCAAATTTTTATTTATTATTACTTTTTTCAGTTTCTACTTATTTGAGTGACTATTGTGAATTCTGCCTTTTCTTTAATAGAAGGGTGTGAATATATATGAGGACCACTGTATACCTGTCTATGCACATTAGCACCATTAACTATAAAATAAGAAAACATTACATCAGTATGTTATTGATTAACTCTCATATTGACGTAGATTTCAACTATCCTCTACACTGCAGCAGCATTAAATGAACTAAAATTTATTTATTTTTGTGTATTTTCTCCGTCCGGCCACCCCAATGAGAGACGTCTGGAGGCGCCACTGGCAAGAACCGACGTGTCGCCGGTACTTTCTCCGAACACAAGTGGAGTATGAGGGCCCAGCGGAGCGGAAAGGCTGCCAAAACACACCCGTTGACGGCACACTGACTAACAGCGGCTGTTTCTCCTGTCAACCGTGTTGTCAAGAAACTTTTGAGAAAACCTCAACAGGACTTGGTCTGCGCCGTCCCACTGTGTTTGGTAACGCGAAGGCAAACTTTCAGGCGGTTAAGTGCTGCGGCGGGGATTTATATCTAACAGCAAAGTAGAACAGAAGGCTAAATACGTGTTAAAGTAAGCATTTTTTTTTTTCTTTTAAAAAATTTTTTTAGTTCAAAGAAAGACACGAACCTCCCATTGTGGAGTCCCCTCTGTCCTCTGTGTGGACACGCCCTCTGACGTCAGCACGCAGGCGGGGATGGGCGACGTCAACGTCTTCAGAACAGGAAAAAAAAAAACAACAACTTTCCTTTTCAGCAGAAAAAAATTAAAAAAACAAAGGCCGAGCTCAGCCCTATCAGCTTTGATTTATACAGTCATAGTTTAATTTACTGTAAATAAAACTTCTACAATACATTTTAATGTAAAAAATAAAAATAAAAAATTCCAATAGTTGTCCTCAAATGAATTCATCCCCTTCCATTAAAGAAAAAGGCAAAATTCACAATAGTCACTCAAATAACTAGAAACTGAAAAAAAGTAATAATAAATAAAAATTTGCTAAATTATTATTTAGTGAATTATGACATTGCTTTTGAATTGAGGTTGAAAAGAATAATATAAAAATATATATATATATATATATCAAATTAAAGCACTTTGCTGATGAGCAGTGAAATCCAAACACCTGTCAACAGGTGCACAAGTCTGACTGAGAGTTACAGAAAACACCTGATTGTAGTGATTGGCTCAAAGTGTTGTTGCTTGTTATGTTTTTGTTATGTTTTTGTTTGCTTGTTTTTTTCTGTTGAACACAATTCAAAAGTAATGTCATAATTTTCTTTCTTTCTTTTTTTAAAATTGCTTTTGTCAATTTCAGCTTCTTTCAGTGACTGAAGCTGTTTTTTCCTTCCTTAATGGGACGGTATGAATACATTTGAGGACGACTGTCCACCAGAGGCTTGGCTTTGATCTTGACCCATTCGGGATCAGTCCAGTTCGGCAGTCCTTAGATTTTAACTCATGGTCATTTCCAAGGTATTGCAGAAGAAATGTTCCACATAAATGTCACGGTGAGTGCAGGATAACTACAGCAAGTGTGTGCTATGGAATAAGTTATTCACACAGCTGGACTCATTTGTGACGGGGTTTCATGGAAGTACTCGTTGCTATAAATTGAATTAACATTAATCTGACCCTATAAATAGTCCTGGAGAAGAGATGCTGGTGGAGGAAAGAAGTTCACCTTTAAAGTCTAGCACAATATTCAGAATAAATAACACATTATAATAATAATAATATCAAATCTGCTGTATGTTACTAACACAAAAAATCTGTTCATATCCTCATAACGAAAAAAAAAAAAATTGATTCAAGGACATTTATAAAACATTCTTCATTTCAGCCTTTAACACCCAGACGTAGTGATGCTACTGCACGCATCCTCACCTCACCTCAACAACAAACTGGACTGGTCCAACAACACAGAGGTCCTGAACAGGAAGGACCAAAGTCGTCTCCACCTGCTGAGCAGACTGAGGACTTGTGGAGTGTGCAGGACTCTGCTCAGGACTTTCTATGACACTGTGGTTGCGTCTGCTCTTTTCTATGCAGTGGTCTGCTGGAGAGCGGGGAGCACAGACAGGGACAGAAACAGACTGGTGAGGAGGACCGGTTCTGTCCTGGGCTGCTCCCTGGACTCCATAGAGGAGGTGGCTGAGAGGAGGATGTCAGCAATGCTCACATCCATCATAGACAACCCGTCACCCGCTGCATGACACTGTGGGGGCTTTAAGGAGCTCCTTCAGCAGCAGACTCTGCAAGAAAGAGCTACTGCAGGTCATTCCCACTAACTGCAGTAAGACTTTATAACATCAGCATCACGAGCTGATGATCAAATTGACATTTCATGGTCACAAATTCACTTCTGCACAATCTATTATTCTTTTTCAATGTAACAATTATCACTAATCATTGCTATTTTCTTGTACTTTATTTTTGGATTCTATTCTAATTATTCTACCATTCAGTTTTCAATAAAATGAAATGGAAAATACTTTATTTATCCCAGAAGGGAAATTCAATTTAATTCAAATTCAAATTCAAAAACATCTTATATTCATTGTATAAGCTGCTGAATGATGTGAAATGGTCTCAAAAATCATGATTGCTTTCAATTTCAGTGACAGAATAAAGCTTTATTGCAATAAAAAAAAAGGCAGGTGACTTGTTTTGCATTGAAAATGACAAACACCTGTGAATTGTGAAAGTTAGATTTATTTTTTTTACACCAACAATAACTGGAAGCCGAGACTGGAGTCGTGAGTTTTGCTAGTGTTGTTTTTTTAAACCACAGTTCAGTCTAAATTCAGACTCCCTCGCGTAACCAAAAGGACGATGAATCCCGTCGTCTGAACAGAGTCAAATAAATACAATACGCACTTGTAGTAAAAACACATGAGGACCACGGATGTGAGCGACAATATGTAAAACAGTTTATACACAGCACAAGACATTTAGTTATTTTCTCGCCATGTTTGCAAATTGCACTTATATCAACAAAACACAACATGGCACTGCAGATTTATTATTATTATTATAGGACTTAAAAAGGTTTACAAAAAGTTGTATTAAAACAATTAAAAACTCTCCTTCATGAATAAAGTGTATGAATACTATTAACATCTGACCTTAACTTATAAATCTTTAAATAAGATTTGCATTGTAATACTCTTCCTCCACCGTAACAGCTCTCCCTCGTCTACGGAGCAGTTATACACAATGTGGTTAAAACACTCATCTGAAGCTCCGCATTTGCAGGATCCATGAGTGACAGTAATATTTTTTTAAATTAGCTGAACATGCTTATAAAAAAATCTGGTAGAAAGGCAAAAAAGAAATCTAAGGCCAGAGGGCAACGAAGGCAGGGAAGCTTATTTGTCTCTTTTGTGTGATTTGAACCAGTAACAGTAAAGTTTTTTTTAACAGCTAACCTAATCACCAGCTTTGTTGCTATGAAATAAATAAAGATATGCCGAGAAAACGCCATCACTGTTGAATAATACTCGAAACAATTAGCATGATTTTTTTTCACCTATTAGAGCAAATAAGTACATCAAAAAGTGCTCAGTCAGGGTAACACAGGCAACGAGTCATCCGTCGAGCGTCCATCTTGCTTCTTCCTCGGGTTCAGTGATCATAGTGGTGGTTGGAAGACGGATGACTGACAGTCACATGGTTTGAACGAACTTTCAGGAACTTTCTATACTTGTTTTGGCACTCGAAAACAAGACTCTTGGCAAATACTGTGCTAGCATCGACATGATTGGGAGCGTGATCGGAGTGAAGGAACCGGGAGGACAGGATGCACTCTGACGGAGCTCCTTAAGGACACTTGGCTTGATTTACTGCAAGTAGAAAGACGGAAGAGAATCACTTTGATTTCAAATGTCATTGTACTAGAGGGATGCACTTAGCTGGGATGCACAGAAAAGACGATTGCAAGAAGCAGAGCAGTGGGATAGGAAGGAAGAGCATGCGGGTGGAAAAACAAAGTCACTGATACCGTGGGGGGATGTTTCCACGTCACAGAGCATAGAAAGGGATGAACAATCAGTCCGGAGCTGAATTAACATTAACATGCAGATTTCCAGTTTCAATCGGTCTTCGAGACAAATAAACTGCATCAATTGAAAAGTCAGAATTTTGTTTCCTCCTTGTGCCAACAAAACGTTCATTTTACCGTTTAAACAGCAGCTATTCATACTCAGCTGTTTTAATGGTAGAAGATGATGTGAACACGCTGCTAACGTCACTGTAAGTCTGAGCAAAACAAACTGATTCATTTCTAAACATGTCAGAAAATAAGATGTGAAAAGACATTGAACTATGTACCGTAATGTCCAGACTATAAGCCGCTACTTTTTTCACACGCTTTGAGCTCTGCGGCTTGAACAGTGATGTGGCTAATTTATGGATTTTTACGAATTTTCCTCAAGACAGAGGAAGATGAAGATAGCGAGCAGTGACTTTTCCTGGTAGGCTGCTGTATTTTTTTATTTTCTTCACCAGCCGTGTTACAGGCACTGTCTGGAAAAAAGTATTTATGGTACGTATTTAATTAAAAGTCTAAAAATCTGTGTAAATATCTCATGTTCCAACGTGGACACCTGCAGCTTAGAGACAAGTGTGGCCTGTACATGTACACATCTTGTTTTCTTTTTAAAGTTAGTGGCTTATATTCAGGTGCAGTAGTCCGGAAAATATGCGAGTACTGAACTGTTGAGCTAGACAAGTCGTTCTTTTTGTGTTTAGGGCCAAAAGCGTGCCAGAGCCACAACAGCTCCGTCTGTTTATCTAAATGTCCTGATAACGATCAGATAAGGAGCAGGCGGATTGGTTTTGTAAAGAGCCACACTGGTGGAGAGCTCAGGATCACGACCAACACTCACCTCTAGTGACTATTTCACACCAGGTAGTTTTACAAACTTTAACCAGAAGCAACTGAGACTCACAGA